TACGTTCGTCCGCATTCCATGTTGGGATGGATGAGGTGGCCTGAAAGGGCCTTGCATCATGCAAGGCAGCAACATGCACATCACTGCAGAAACACATGTCATCATCGTTGCAAAAACATGCATCTTTGAATGTCGACCCATTGGATGAAAACTACTATCAGCAAGCTTATGCAACCAGTTAACAACATTCTGCTTCTTGGGAACCATGTCGTCAAGCTGTTGTAATTGCCTGCTGTTGTTGTCACCAAAATCGACACCTGCCGTAAGCAATGCACTGTTTGCTAAACCAACTGCTCTCATCCGTGTCCGGTGAAAATCATCTGTCGTTTCGTCTCGAACCCGGCTGACGTCGTGAAATCTTTCAGAAAAATCAGTTTCATTCACAACTGAAAAAGCCATACTGCCGTCTGAATCCACTGTCACATCAACCGTCAAAGACATTCTAAAACCTGTTGTTGTTTGCACATTGGGCTCATTCACATTGCTCCAAGTCAGAGTCTGTTCGATCTGCGGGCTGGTGGTGCTCGAAGTCAACCATTGCAACGGGACGTTGTCCGTGTCAGTTGGCACACTCAATGCATCGAGGTCAGTAAACGCATACTCCAGCAATGCAAGCATACCACCTAGAATGATCACTGCACCAAGCAAACTTCTGCAGACCAAACAGACCCCAACTTGGCAGCATCGCCGCAGAGCTTCCATGGGCTCCGCTACCAAGTTGGGATCTGCTCGGTAGGAAACGGCCCTACAAACATCAGTACTTCCAAGGAAAACATGTCGTTGGTCGGCCGCCTTTCCCTTTTCTCTCGCCGATGTTCTCATGTTGAGAACTGCAAATCCATGCACAGCAAATCGAAGTAAACAGCCACGCAAAAAGGGTATGTTGGACTCGAGTCTGGGAAAAGGCAACGAAGACATGTACTGTCGTTGACAGGTACTGTATCAACCACCAGCTGGAAGTCATGACATGTATGGCTATGTTGTAGGGACCTTCATAGGACTGGCCCCTTTTGACTAGCCATCCAAGACCCAAGACTTAGGAAGCCACGAAAAGAAGCACCGCTGTGAGCAAGGCTGGCTCTTCCATCAAAGTTCCTTGGCAAAACAATGGAACATAGCTGTAACATAGTGGAATGTTGGCATTGCCACTTCCAAGGGACAGATTGCGCAGCTATGCAGATTCCCCATGCACCGCTGCCATATTGCAAAACGGGTATCTGTAATCATCCTCATACAGCAGGATCGTAATCGAAAACAGGCAGAGTACCGAGCTCCTGGGCTGCAACGGCTGAAACGGTTGAAACAGCTGAAAGGTGTCATCCTTGTGGCGGAGCTTGGTGCATCCAGGCCACGGAATGTCTCGCATCTCCTTGGCTCATTGAGATCAACACTTTGTCCAGAAATGTCCAGAATGACAAGTTTCATATCCCTTGAAACACAGACCACCATGGTCGTCGTAAACCAAATTCATGCCACGTCTACCTGTGTATGAGACACCATGAGACACCTAGGGGCCCGCAACAATCCGCAACATACATGTTGCATTTGAAAGGATATCGGTTCAGCAAGGCTTCAAAGTAAGGATGTTCAAGCACACTGATGGCACTTCCAAATGTGAGCAGCAGGAAGACCAGGGCAACAAGGAAGCGGCCGATTTCACTCAGCACCTTCCCGAATGCGAAACCCGTGGAATTCTTTCAGAACATTTCAGAACCAACTCTTGGGGTCCAACCTTGATGATAAGAACACCTTAGGCATACTGTACAGAATTTCAGGATTCAATGGAGCACTCGTATCCAAGTGACCATGTCAAGACATGTCAAGACATGTCAAGGCCCATGTCACAATCAGCCAAGTCCAATCATTTGATGTGCCAGCACCAGAAAAACTCAATAAAACTGTCAGATTTGGCTCAACTTATGCACCGTATCATGACCTTATCCTGCCTACAAGGGGATCACCAGGGACATATCATCAACATTTCATCCAGCGCATCCATTCACAACTACGTCGACAGCCGTGCCGCCGTGCCTGCGCACACACTAGGACGAAGGCTGACAAGCCCGTCGAGAAGACAGCGAGGTCAACCATCAAAAACCAATGCACGGCCATAGCTAAAAGCCCTAAAGCTGAGTAGGTCCACCGCAGGTCCTCCGATCGCAAGGAATGTCTTGGAATGTGATGAATGTGCAAATGTCGAAGGTGTAGGAATTTGCTTGCACGTAGACGGTGTTAAGGTGTTAGCTTGATTTTTCGATGGCGTGGTTTTTATTCAAAATTGTTTGAAAAAAGATTGGCTGGGGGAAAGAAGAGCACAGATTGCCTGACTCTGTAGGAGGGTCGTTTGGCTTTTGTGACATGTGTCCATTTCGCATTTGCTGTGACTGGGCCCTGGGAAGGTTTTTGAATCCAACTTCGAACGACAACACGGAAAAATATTGTCTTTCAGATGTTTTAACAGGTTCTTGAAGCGCAACAAGTTTAAACGTTTACCGTTTATATACTGTTTTACAAACAAGCTTTTCGTGGGTTTAAGATTTGGCAGACAAGGAGTCGTAAAAATGCCAACCTTGCTTCAAAATATCCACGTGGTGCTCCCTTTGCAGTCATGGTTTTCGATGGTGGCTTTTTGTTTAAAGAGCATGGGGGGCAGGGTGGCACAATAAATCACAGCCAGTGGTGTTCCTGGCTGATGCACTTGTGTTTCTGGCTCGACTGATAACCCACCGTAGGAAAGGGAATCAATGGCATGGACTCACTCAAAAAAAACGCAGCGGCCGTCCAAGTTTGCATTTTTCAGTTCAAGATGTTTGACCTGAGGATAATGAAACTGAAAGCAAATTATATTAGAACCAAGATCCTTTTGCTCAATGGTCAGAGAAATATCATTGGGAAGGTGTAGGAAGGTGTAGGAAGGTGTAGGAAGGTGTAGGCCGTTGGTGAGGTTGGGTCAAGTCGTGAAGGGGGTCAACATGATGTCTTTAAGCTCATCCCATCCCAACTGCTCCTCCACATCATCACAGTAGTAGGTGGGCCACTCTTCTGGGGCAGAGGCTAAGCAGTGATACATTGGTTCGTAGCAGAACATCAGCAGGAGAAGAACCGCCAGAGTCTTAGTTTATAGCGACAGTGCAGCGCACAACTTCCAAAGCCACCCAGGAGATGCACGATCGCTACATTGTGACTACATGCTCCAAGAGCGAAAACGCATGAGAATGCAGCGCAAGAATATGCAAGAATGCTGGTTCTGCAGCTGGTTGTTCAGAATCTCCGGGCAAGAAAATGCTTGACACACTAGGAGTTGAGTCAAGAGACTAAATTGCCCAGTGCCATTGCATTGTGCAAGGACTTTGGCAACGGAATGCATCTCAGAACCTTCTTGTACTTGCCCCGGCGAAGATCCTTGCAGCCCTTCCAAAAGAGTCCTCGGATGCTGCCAATTATCAGTCACTACTGTACTCAGTCCCAGCAGTTCTAAGTAATAGCAGATTCAATAGCAGTAGGAAACCATACCAAACCCTCCTGGTGCTTCATGCGGCTTCATGCGGCTTCATGCCAGCGAGCTTCTGGTGAGTAATCTCGCCATGGTCACCACGTACATGAAGGTGCGCCCAAAGAACACTACAACTCGCACGCTGTAAACCCCTTCCAGGGCTCTCTCTTTGGGCAGAATACATTCGCTCAACATGAAGACGAGAAGACTGACCAAGAACCACAACCGCGACAGGAGGAAGTGATTTCTCACCAAGCCATTCCACCTTAGAAATATATCTTCTGATGCAGGGGCAAAGATGCGGAGTTCTGTTGCCATTCTCCAATGGCTCCTTCATTTTTTTGCATGCCAACCCTATGAAATTTGAAACACATGGCCTTAAAAGTGAGAAAAGGATGAAAAAGGTTGAACTTTTGTGATTGAGTCATCAACTTCAGTGCAACTGGATAACTGGATCATTTCATATCATTTCAGCACAACTCAGGTCGACAAAAGCAGCTAAGCAGGGATCCGCCAAGGCACAAGGTGTCTGACACTGTCACCACCACCGGGTGAACCATGATCTTCGGGTCTTTGGTACTACAAATCTCTCGCAAAAATTCAGCAGGTTCACCCTCCTGCAACGGCCAGATCAGTGGCCAGATGGTGTTGCTGATGGTTGTGGCAGGATTGATGTGCAAAAAGAACCGCTCCAATATTATGCTCCAATGATTGTGACATGAAGAGCGGGCACCCACGGCTCCCAACTTTGTGCGCAGGAAGCACCGTGGACTGGCTCTAACTGCCAAACTTTTCAAACACTACTAAGATCTACTAAGGGGGGAAGGAAAGACAAATTATGAAATGAAGCGATCCCCTGTGCGCAAGTCCTGATTGACAATGAGATGCTTCACCTTGGGACGCTTCACAGGATGCATTTGGAATGACACAATGTCTACAGTGCCTCTGCAACAAGACATAACAAGACATAACAAGACTAAGTTTGATTGAGTCTGATTAAGTCTGACGAGCTGATGCAAGTCGCATAATAGTTGACCCTGCGCAGGCCCTTCTCTGTGCGTGGAGATCGCCAGATCAATCCATCCAGCAGAATAGGAATCAGCATCGGTGCCTTGCAACATGCCCAACATGTCCCCGAAAAACAAAACCTCTGCTGCCTGGTCCCAGAGCTTGGAAAAGGTCCCTCAAAGCAAACTGCGCCACGAGCCTCACGGCATAAACAGTTGATGATGTCCTGGTGACGCTCGAAAAGTGCATCATTGCCTCAAAGGAAACCACTCGGTAGCTGTCGAGAGGTGAGGCCAGTATGAATAATATACATTACATTTAATTACATTTCATGCACATTCAAAATACACGCGGCGTCAATAGTCCACTTGTTTGACAAACGCCTAGCAGCACCTAGGCACAAAGCCACACTGAGTTCACTGAGCTCTAGTCCATAGTAATACCTCTCTCGGTCTGCACGGAGGACCAGCAGGTCTTGCATGATGGCCTCCGGCAACGCATGAAAGGCAAGCCATGAAAGACCTTAAAGACCATCTCATTCTCAAACTCTCTGTCCTCTCAATATCATCACAAGCTAGCAGCTCCAAAGTCGCACCTCTGCTGCGGCAAGATTTCCACTCTGAATGGCCCAGTACAGAGGCGAGATGGATTGCGTTCCCACCTGCCAGCCGAGGCCAAGAAAGTCATATCCGAAAAGAATTTCACAGCATGCACCAAGGCGCAAAAGAATTGCAGCTGTTGGTCCCACTTCCCGAAATCAATCCTCTCTCAGCATACATCTACATCAAAAACAAACAAAAACAAATTAAAGGACCGGATAACCGCACAAGTCAACTTCTTCCAACAATAAGAAACTAAAGTTGAAGCGGGACGGGAAAGGAAGGAAAGGCAAAGGAGGTGGTGGAGGATTGGAGGATGATCGATAAGTTATAATTAAAGGACCAGATAACCCCACAAGTCAACTTCATCCAATAATGAGAAACTAAAATTGAAGCGGGACGGGGAAGGAAGGAAAGGCAAAGGAGGTGGTGGAGGATTGGAGGATGATCGATAAGTTAATTAAAGGACCAGATAACCCCACAAGTCAACTTCTTCCAATAATGAGAAACTAAAGTTGAAGTGGGACGGGGAAGGAAGGAAAGGCAAAGAAGGTGGTGGAGGATCGATAAGTTAAAAAAAGTTGTACGTGGAGGAGTTGTGTGTGTGTGGGTGTGATGTATGGGGGTGAAACAGTTGTGTGTGCAAAGAGTTGTGTTTGAGGAAGTTTTGAATATTTGTGTATGAGTGTGAACAAGTTGTGTGTCAGAAAGTTGCGTGTAAAAGAGTTGTGTATGCAAGAGTTGCGTGTGCCACAGTTGTGTGAGAAAACCGGCCTCTCAAGCGACGCGGTGGAGCAGAGCGGGACGTTCGACAGTCGCAAGGACCTGAACGGCCAGTGCTTCAGTGTGTGCCCAGCAAGGCGCATTAGCCCATAGCCCTTGCTGTCATACTCTGTTGAAAACCGAGCGTTGGCCCCAAGCACACACAACCGCGTCATCCCGCAGCCCCGGCCAACGAGATGAGAAACAACATCACGTTGGTCCGCTTGGTGCACGCAACAAAACATGAAACGAACCAGAATTGACACAACAGGCATATGCGATTGCAGCAGATTGTGCGATTTGAGGGCCTCCCGCTGGACATTGCCCTGGCATGTTGCAGATTGCTTCATGCCTGCCGACCATCGGCATGTGCCCGGCAAGGCGCCAGCCCATTGCCCTTGGTTGGAAACGGGGCGTTGGCCCCAAGCACACAAGACCGTGTCATCCTGCACCCCCGGCCAACGAGGTGACAGCCGACAACACGCAAAGTGCCGCGGCGTCACCGGCGACCAACGGGCCCCAAGCGCGCCACCAGAGCCAGCCCAGTGTCACAAGTGCCGCACCTGCCACGCAAACCGAAGGTGGATGTCGCCAAGCGCCAAGCAAAGTGACGGTGGATGTCGCCAAGCGCCACGCCTGCCACACAAAGTGCCGCGGCGTCACCGGCGACCAACGGGCCCCGCCACGCAAAACGAAGCTTGATGCCGCCACGCCTGCCACACAAAGTGACGGTGGATGTCGCCAAGCGCCACGCCTGCAACGCAAAGTGCCACGGCGTCCAGCCAAGCGTCACAAGTGCCACACCTGCCACGCAAAGAGAGTGTCGATGTCGCCGAGTGCCACGCCTGCCACGCAAAACGAAGGTGGATGTCGCCAAGTGCCACGCCCGCCACACAAAGTGACGGTGCATGTCGCCAAGTGCCACGCCTGCCACGCAAAGAAGAGTCGGTGTCCCATGCCTGCCACGCAAAGTGATGGTGGATGCCGCCAAGTGCGAGCAAGTTGTGTGTGAGCAAGTTGTGTGTGTGACAAAGTTGGTGTGAGCAAGCTGTGTGTGAAAGATGGTGTGTGACAAAGTTGTGTGTGACAAAGTTGTGTGTGTGTGTGAACAAGTTGTGTGCGCGCGTGTGGGTGGCAAAGTTGTGTGGTTGTGTGCGTGTGTGTGTGTGTGCCAATTGTATGTGAAAGGGCTGTGTGTGAAAGATGGCGTGTGACAAAGTTGTGCGTGTGTTGCAAAGTTGTATGTGGCAAAGTTGTGTATGAGCAAGTTGTGTGTGTGTGACAAAGTTGTATGTGACAAAGTTGTGTGTGAGCAAGTTGTGTGTGACAAAGTTGTGTGTGAACAAGCTGTGTGTGAGTGGCAAAGTTGTGTGGTTGTGTGTGAGCAATTTGTGTGTGACAATTGTATGTGACAAAGCTGTGTGTGAAAGATGGTGTGTGTGAAAAAGTTGTGTGTGTGACAAAGTTGTACGTGACAAAGTTGTGTGTGTGTGTGAGCAAGTTGTGTGTGAAAGAGATAGGAGGCAAAGTTGTGTGTGAGAAAGTTGTGTGTGAAAGAGAGTGTGTGACAAAGTTGTGTGTGAGCAAGTTGTGTGAAAGAGAGAGGAGGCGGCGGCGGAGGAGCGGGATACAGAATCAAAAATAAGAGAAGAAACGCCCCTCGCGCCTGAACTTTCAGAAGCCACTGGAAACGCTGCCCACGCGGAGCACAACTAATCGCTCGCTGCCTGAGATTCAGAACGACTTCAGAGTCTACGTCCAAAGGCTTCCAAAGACACGATGCGATCGTAGATTGTTTTCAGAGTGTGAAAATCAATAGATTGTTTCCAGATGTTTTCAGATCTGGCCAAAGTGACAGCATCTTCCTCGAATTTGCATTCACTGCCTAGCCGGGGAAATGGGCCAAGCCACCACAGATTAACCACGACCGGAATCTGGGACCACCGCAGGTAGATCCAAATAATGGAAATCTCTAGTGTACCGTGTACGCAAACCACCGCTACTTTAAATAGCAACTGGCCCCAACCTTCATCACAATGGTCGATCCCTCTGCCACTGTTCTCACCTCACTCCAACCATGATACTATTGTGAAGTCCGGGGCACACTTTTACCAAGAGCGCGCTGAATTTGCTGAATGAATGACATATTGCCGAATGTGTATATTGTATGTCTGTATGTCTGTATCTCTGTATGTATGTCTGCCTGCCTGTCTGTCTGTATGTCTGTATGTCTGCCTGCATGTATTCATGCATGCATGCATGCATGCATGCATGTGATATATCGAATGTTAAATGTTGAATGTATGTAAGTATGTATGTATACCAGTCGTACCGCACAAGGCGGTGGCGGAAGTTTCAAAGATAGGAAACCTATAGGAGAGATTGGTTGTTGTGAATCACGGATGGCAGAGCGAATCCACAAATGGACCGAAAGGTGGTTGGAGTTGTGTTTTTTTTGAGTCATTGCATGGGTTGCAGCGGTCACCTTACCACAACTGCTGGATGTAGTATGCTGTAGCACAGTTGTAGTTGTAGTTGCAGTGTAGTGTAGTGGAGTTGTAGTTGTAATGTAGGGTAATTAGTGTAGTTGCAAGCGCAGTTAGTGTAGTTGTAGTTGTAGCGTAGCGTAGTGTAATTAGTGTAGTGTAGTGTAATGTAGTGTAGTGTAGTGCAGTGCAGTGTAGTGTAGTGTAATGTAGTGGTAGTTGTAGCTGCGGTTGTAGTTGCAGTTGTAGTTGTAGTTGTAGCGTAATGCAATGTAACTAGTGAAGTGTTGTGTTGTGTAATGTAGTGTAGTTGTAGTTGCATTTGTATTTGTAGTTGTAGCGTGCTGCAATGTAAATAGTGTAGTGTAATGTAATGTAGCGTAGCTGTAATTGTAGTTGTATCTGTGGTGGTAGTTGCTGTTGTTGTTGTTGTCGTTGTAGTGTAATTAGTGTATATAGTGTAGCGTAATTGAATGTAATTAGAGTAGTGTAGTGTAATTAGTGTAGTGTAATGTAGCGTAGTACATGTGCATGTGTAGGTGTAGTGGTAGTGTACTGCAGTCGCAGTTGTAGTTGTATTTGTCTATCTGTCTTTCTGCAAGCTTGAAAACGAAGCTATTCTGCAAGACATCCCCAGTTTTTGAACTTGACAACATCTAAAGTGCAGCAATCCTGCGAGACCTCCTCAATGTTTGAACTTGACAACGTCAAAAATGAAACAATTCGGCGAGACTTCCTCAATTTTCGAAGTTGGCAACATCAAAAACGAAGCAATTCTGCCAGACTTCCATCAAAAATGGAAAGTTCAGTGCAGAGCTGACGGCCTCGCACCAATGCGTTTTGCGATGTTTCCATTCCATCTGTCTAAAGTACTGCGCCTGCCACGAAAAAGTGATGCCAGGTCATACGAAGTGCTGCGCCTGTCACGCAAAATCATCGTAGCAAACCTGAAGATCTGATGCTCCAAAATGAAACCCCTGTACGGGAGAATAATTGGGTCCATGTGATTATCCAATTTGTGGACAATTTGAGTGAGCACCAGAAAAATGTCATATTAAATAAATTCAATATATTAAACGATTTTAATATTTTAATATTTAAGTACTGTCCTTATTTAAAAAATATCGACTACATTGAAATATTAAATTCAAATAATCTTGCAGGTTACCAATTCCCAGAAAGACTATAATATTTAAACTACTTAAAATATTTATATAAGTATTAGAATAGTTTAATATTTAAACTTTTCCTTATTTAAACATATTTAATATTTAAATATTGAATCATTTAATATTTAAATATTTAAATATTTAAATAGTTTCCTTATTTAAAAAATTCAATAAATTTCAATATTAAATTCAACGAGCCTTGCAGGAGACCAATTCCCAGGCTGCATTGTGATCCCTCCCATTTCTACAGCGGCAAGAAAGTAGGAAACACCCTGTCCACTTTGCAAATGGAGAAGGAAGCAGCAACAAGAGGAGTAATGTATAGTCTGGAGATTTGGCGCGAAACAGGGCGTAGAAGGAACAACAAGAATACAGTGAAGCTTTGGCTCAAGGTTCCATAACTTCTATCCTGGTGAAGGAAAGCAGCTTGAACCAATCTAAGGGAACCTACCTATTACCTACAAAAGTGGAGGACCTGGCCGTGCTGGATGAACTGTATGAACTTGCATCAAACCCTGGTTTAGGAAAGTAGTTGCGAAATTGGTGATTTTGAGCCCAGCATTGCAACTTAGTAACTTTGCGTTCTGACATGTATGTATCCGGATGGAATCTATATTTGTATCTATGCGTATGCCTACCTTTATACTACATTTATCGTTAAACATTTACGTGTCTGAATATATATATATAGTGTGTGTGTGTGTAAATCTTTCCTTCCGATGATACGAGACTATGGGTTTGAAAAACCTACCATGGTGATGAAGAGGCACCAAATCGCATTATACCAATTATTCCCTGCCACATGGAACCCCTCTCAGGAAATCAATCCCCTGACCTCCTAACATCAGAGGAACATGTCTCTTGTACCGCGCCTGCCACGCGAAATGCATCTTTGCGGATCCTCTTCAAATGTTCCACGCCTGCCATCGTTTTTGGAAATGCCACAACACCCTCACGTGTTGCTCACTTTTGGCAGGGTGCACAATCCCTTGCGCCTGCCACGCAAAACGACATCTGAACGTCCAAAAGTGCTCCGTACCCGTCAGTGTTTTGCACTTTTGACTTCAAAATGTGCTTCGGGTCACAACGGTGTGCACTTTTTCGACATCTCAACTTCCAAAAGTGCTCCGACCATGGTGTGTTTTGTACACTTTCACTTCGAAATGTGCTTCTCGCCACAACGGCGTGCACTTTTTCGACATCTCAACTTCCAAAAGTCCTCCGAACATGAAGTGCTTTGTACATTTTGACTTCGAAAATCGCTTCGCGCCACACCGGCGCGCAATTTTTCATCCCTCATCTGGCCAAATGGCTCTGCACCCGCCGCTTTAGCGAGCCTACTTTTCGACCCTCCGGAGCCACAAATCATTGGAAAAACACAGTGAATCTCGACTTTTCTACCTTTTCGCACACCTGCATCTTCTTTCTTCTGACTCTTTCTCTTCTCTGATCTTCTTTCTTCTTCTCTCTTCTTCTCTTCTCTTCTCTGGCTCTTCCGACCTCTTCTTTTTCATCTGCATATTGTCGGAAGTTTGACTTCTAAACTTCCTTCGAAAATAGAGAGAGGGAGAGAGAAAAAAAGAAAGTAATATCTATCTATCTATCTGTCTATCTATCCCAGCACGTTCAAAGGGGTGCCTAATGAATTTCAAGAATTGAGATTCTTAAGGGGTGCCTAATGGACACCCCTTAGCGTTCATGGAGATGGCACACCAGAAAATGATGAGTTCCAACCCAAAATCTTCCAATCCGACCCGCGTGGCATCTGTGGTGCACCCGACTTCATTTTTGGCGAGAAGAAATGCATGCGTTTCTTTTCGCGTCGGATGTAACATGTTCCCAAAATTCAAGAAAACTAGTCAAAATCGACACGAAATGACACGCGCAGGGGTTGTTCAAAAAGCACCCGACACGTTTCTAAGGGGTGCTTATTAGACACCCGTTTGCCTAAGGGGTGCTTATTGGACACCCCCTACCGACCGACACGACACGGCAGTGACACGCAATGACACGCATGTTTTTCTTGATTTCTCAAAAAAAACTCGTGACCACTTATGACTGACACGACACGGCAATGACACGAAATGACACGCATTTCTGGAAGCAAACGTGGGGAAATCGAAGATAAATGCACATATTACTATGAATACCTCATTATCCGTTAGTTTGGAACCTTAAAAATTAAGGGGTGCCTAATGGTTACCCCCCTTAAGGGGTGCCTATTTGAGACCCGTTTGTACATCCTGGTCTATCTATCTATCTAGCTAGCTAGCTATCTATCTATATTATGGTATGTGCGTGTGTGCGTGTGTGCGTGTGCGTGTGCGTGTGCGTGTGGGCGTGTGGGCGTGTGGGCGTGTGGGCGTGTGGGTGTGTGTGTGTGTGCGCGTGCGTGTGCGTTTTCCCCCAGGAATTGTCATGAACTGCGTATCCTGAAAGGATGAAAGGTCGATTGCCCTGAGATTGCGGCCAGCTGCTTGGACACAATGCCCAGAGACCACTTGAATCCTTCTAGTGCAACCGAATCCTCCTGAGGCAAATCAAGATCTCTAAGATCTCTATAGATCTCTAGGTAGACGGGTTATATATATATATATATATATAATTATATGTATATAATTATGTATCTGTGTACTTCTTAGAGATCTCTCTAAAAAATCCAAAATGCCACAAGATCTCAAAGAAGTACAGTAACAAATCAAGAACCACACACCAATTATATACAGTATATTCCAATTATCCCATCCAATCAGATGCTCTTCATTGCTTCACACTTCACTCCTATCCTTTGATCATCTTGATCCAGTTACTGTATCAAATGTCATTGGCCAAGGAACCGTGGCTTCACGAATTACATCTACGCAAGCATTGACCTCGGCCACCGTTGCCAGCTGGACTCCAGCCAAAATCAGCGTCAGCGTCGCACTGAGATGCACTGAGATGCACTGAGATGCACTGAGATGCACTGAGATGCACTGAGATGCACTGAGATGCACTGAGATGCACTGAGATGCACTGAGATGCACTGAGGTATTGGCGAATGGCGCAAACATGTCCGTTGGCACTCCGTAGCCCACATGTCGCAGGCCCAGCGCCGACAAGTCATCGATGATCTCAGGGCCCAGCGGTTTCAATGGGACACATAGGCTAGGTCCTAGCTAGGTCACATATTGAAAAATGGAAAAACATCAGGTGACCATAGGTGACCCATCAAAATCTGGTCACCCTTAACAACTTCTGTGCAGAACCGCTGGATCATTTTACCAGTCCGGCCTGCCATGGCTCGCTGTAAATGTCCTGAGAAAAGCTGAAGACCTGCCAGGTGGGACTAATTTTGAACTAAACTGGGTGCAGGTCATTGGTGCATGTGGCCCAGCTGAATTTCAAACCACCTTGCAGCATTCTGGGCATCCCAAGTGAGCTCAAGTGGCATTCTGGGCATCCCAAGTGCTCTCAGCATCCATCTGAAGAACAAGAATTGGTCTATATATTGGTGCCTTGCTCTGAGCCTGTTGCCTCTCGCCTTCTCAACGATGAAGTGCAAGCGTGTGTCAGATTGTTTGAAATACTCCTGACCCGCTGGAGTAGACTCGAAGAATCCTTAGGCAGCTAGAGAAGTCAAATGCCTGCTCTGGATTTGTTTCATCTTTTTCCATGGGATTCCTGAGGAATCGATGTCGTGATTTCTCAAAATTGCCAACCCTTCAGCTCGAACGTCCAAAGGATACAAAAAATGCAACATATCAATGCCCCTCTTTCTTGAATACAGAGATCGGAAAAAATGGAAAAAAGGGAGAGAGAGAGAGAGGGAGGAGAGACAGAGAGAGAGAGAGAGAGAGACCGAGACCGAGACCGAGAGCGAGGTGTGTGATACGCCTTATACACTTCCATATACAATCATATGCATTTACAGTCTATAGTCAATATATCCTGGTCCACTACTGCACGGAAAGGCTACGCAACGTTTCTTGACCTTTTTTCTGTACCCAGCCCTTGCAGCTTTGCATCGATCATAGATGGAAGCCCGGAGCTTGTAGCCTTGGCATCAAATTTGGTTAACACCACCGCCGACTGCACAGCTCGGGCACACTGGGGCTGCCCAACGGTGTTCTTCTGGTAAGGAGGAGAAGAATTTGACCACAGCAACCTGATCAAACACCAGGCCTTTTGCCTATGGCGGCCTGCGGTCTAGCAAAGATCATCGTCACATGATGTGTTGCTGTGAGAAGTTTCACTCTGAGATCTGAGATGGGCCTCCCATTGGTAGGATGCCCCTAAAGTTTTCACCTGGGCCGCGGCAGGCAGGTCTCTGCACTCAGTGGCGGTGTTACTGAAGTCCTTGCGCATAGTACTCAGGCACCCAGGTCTTGCTTGCGGCCGAAGTAGCTAGAAGCTGCGCTACATTGTCCCATAACCAATTCCAAGCAACCTCATACTGGGTGTCCCATTCCTGCGCCACTTCACAAGGCTTTCAGTTGGCTAAAAGTATCTATATATACTGCTTCTTCACCGATTACGATATCTGTTCCTGCATGGATACATACTGTATTGCATGTTTCATGTTTCCATTAAATTCCATTAAATTCCATCAAGTTCTCATCAAGTTCCATCTACCTTACGCCGCACGGCTGGAGGTAAGCGATCCCTGAGGCCATGAAATGACCGGCCTTCGGAAGTAGAGACCGCAACGAGGCCAGCATGCAGGACTTGAATTGCGATAGGTTGGGTGCCTTGAAGCATCAAAAGCATCAAATTGATTCGATTTATAGTGACGGACAATCACTTAGAACGTAAAATGTTTTCCATTTTTTTTTCGTACTTAGAACGTAGCAAAATTTCATCACTTAGAACGTAGGGAAAATTCATCACTTAGAACGTCAAAATATCACTTAGGCCCATTTATCACTTAGAACGTAAACCAACACTTAGAACGTGCTAAGTGATTGTCCGTCGCTATATAAACTATTTTTTCGATTTCAAAATCAATTAAATTTCCTTATATAGCGCAATTAAACATATTGCCAAAAATTGGATTTCGAAGCGGACCCTAATAATAAATTTAGACCCTTAATAAAGCGGCTATTTTTTTCGACTTCAAAATCAATTAAATTTCCTTATATAACGCGATTAAAATATTGCCAAAAATTGGATTTCGAAGCGAATCCTAATAATAAATTTAAACCCTTAATAAAAAGACTTGTTTTTTCGATTCAAAATCAATTAAATTTCCTTTTATAACGCAATAAGACTATTGCCAAACACTAGAGTTCGAAGCGGACCCTAATAAATTTAAACCCTTAATAAAACAAAACTATTTTTTTCGATTCAAAACCAATTAAATTTCCTTATATAGCGCAATTGAAATATTGCCACAAATTGGATTTCGATGCGGACCTAAATAATAAATTTAAACCCTTAATAAGAAAAACCGTTTTTTTCGATTTCAAAATCAGGTAAATTTCCTTATAACACAATTAAAATATTGCCGAAAATTGGATTTCGAAGCGGATCCTAATAATAAATTTAAACCCTTAATAAAAAGACTAGTTTTTTCGCTTTCGAAATCAATTAAATTTCCTTTTATAACGCAATTAAAATATTGCAGAAAATTGGAATTCGAAGTGGAATCGAAATTATGTCTAGGTTTCCTATACGGAATTAGCTGCTGAATCCAACACTTAGAACGTCAGAACCCCTAAAAAGCACCAAAAGGTATAGTGTTCCAGAGATAAAAGATCACCAATATTTGCAAATCATATGAGAGGGAAAAGCCAAATGGTACGAAATTATGTCTATGTTTCCTCGGAATTAGCTGCTGAATCCAACACTTAGAACGTCAGAACCCCCAAAAAGCACCAAAAGGATCCAAAAGGTAGAGTGTTCCAGAGATAAAAGATCGCCAATGTCAAATCATATGGGAGGGAAAAGCCAAATGGTACGAAATTATCTCTATGTTTCCTACGGAATTAGCTGCTGAATCCAACACTTAGAACGACAGAACCCCCAAAAAGCACCAAAAGGATCCAAAAGGTAGAGTGTTCCAGAGATAAAAGATCGCCAATGTTTGCAAATCATATAGGAGGGAAAAGCCAAATGGTACGAAATTATGTCTGTGTTTCCTACGGAATTAGCTGCTGAATCCAACACTTAGAACGTCAGAACCACCAAAAAGCACCAAAAGGTATAGTGTTCCAGAGGTAAAGACCGCCAAGATTTGCAAATCATATGGGAGGGAAAAGCCAAATGGTACGAAATTATGTCTATGCTTCCTACGGAATTAGCTGCTGAATCCAACACTTAGAACGTCAGAACCCCCAAAAAGCACCAAAAGGTATAATGTTCCAGAGATAAAAGATCGCCAATATTTGCAAATCATATGGGAGGGAAAAGCCAAATGGTACGAAATTATGTCTATGTTTCTACGGAATTAGCTGCTGAATCCAACACTTAGAACGTCAGAACCCCCAAAAAGCACCAAAAGGTATAGCGTTCCAGAGATAAAAGATCGCCAAGATTTGCAAATCATATGGGAGGGAAAAGCCAAATGGTACGAAATTATGTCTATGTTTCCTACGGAATTAGCTGCTGAATCCAACACTTAGAACGTCAGAACCCCCAAAAAGCACCAAAAGGTATAGTGTTCCAGAGATAAAAGATCGCCAATATTTGCACATCATATGGGAGGGAAAAGCCAAATGGTACGAAATTATGTCTATGTTTCTTACGGCTTAGAATGTCAGACCCCCAAAAAAGCACCAAAAGGTATAGTGTTCCAGAGATAAAAGATCGCCAATATTTGCAAATCATATGGGAGGGAAAAGCCAAATGGTACGAAATTATGTCTATGTTTCCTACGGAATTAGCTGCTGAATCCAACACTTAGAACGTCAGAACCCCCAAAAGCAGCAAAAGGTATAGTGTTTCAGAGATAAAAGATCGCCAATGTTTGCAAATCATATAGGAGGGAAAAGCCAAATGGTACGAAATTATGTCTATGTTTCCTACGGAATTAGCTGCTGAATCCACCACTTAGAACGTCAGAACCCCAAGAAGCACCAAAAGGTATAGTGTTCAAGAGGTAAAGATCGCCAATTCAATATTTGCAAATCATATGGGAGGGAAAAGCCAAATGGTACGAAATTATGTCTATGTTTCCTACGGAATTAGCTGCTGAATCCAACACTTAGAACGTCAGAACCCCCAAAAAGCACCAAAAGGATCCAAAAGGTAGAGTGTTCCAGAGATAAAAGATCGCCAATTCAATATTTGCAAATCATATGGGAGGGAAAAGCCAAATGGTACGAAATTATGTCTATGTTTCCTACGGAATTAGCTGCTGAATCCAACACTTAGAACGTCAGAACCACCAAAAAGCACCAAAATGCATAGTGTTCAAGAGATAAAGAACGCCAATATTTGCAAAACATATGGGACAGAAAAGCCAAATGGTACGAAATTATGTCTATGTTTCCTACGGAATTAGCTGCTGAATCCAACACTTAGAACGTCAGAACCCCCGCCCAAAAAAATAAAGCACCAAAGGAAATCCAAAGGTATAGTGTTCCAGAGGTAAAGACCGCCAAGATTGGCAAATCATATGGGAGGGAAAAGCCAAATGGTACGAAATTATGTCTATGTTTCCTCGGAATTAGCTGCTGAATCCAACACTTAGAACGTCAGAACCCCCAAAAGCACCAAAAGGTATAGTGTTTCAGAGATAAAAGATCGCCAATGTTTGCAAATCATATAGGAGGGAAAAGCCAAATGGTACGAAATTATGTCTATGTTTCCTACGGAATTAGCTGCTGAATCCAACACTTAGAACGTCAGAACCACCAAAAAGCACCAAAAAGTATAGTGTTCCAGAAGTAAAGACCGCCAAGATTTGCAAATCATATGGGAGGGAAAAGCCAAATGGTACGAAATTATGTCTATGTTTCCTACGGAATTAGCTGCTGAATCCAACACTTAGAACGTCAGAACCCCCAAAAAGCACCAAAAGGATCCAAAAGGTAGAGTGTTCTAGAGATAAAAGATCGCCAATATTTGCAAATCATATGGGAGGGAAAAGCCAAATGGTACGAAATTATGTCTATGTTTCCTACGGAATTAGCTGCTGAATCCAACACTTAGAACGTCAGAACCCCCAAAAAGCACCAAAATGCATAGTGTTCAAGAGATAAAGAACGCCAATATTTGCAAAACATATGGGACAGAAAAGCGAAATGGTACGAAATTATGTCTATGTTTCCTACGGAATTAGCTGCTGAATCCAACACTTAGAACGTCAGAACCCCCAAAAAGCACCAAAAGGATCCAAAAGGTATAGTGTTCCAGAGATAAAAGACCGCCAAGATTTGCAAATCATATGGGAGGGAAAAGCTAAATGGTACGAAATTATGTCTATGTTTCCTATACGGAATTCGCTGCTGAATCCAACACTTAGAACGTCAGAACCCCCAAAAAGGATCCAAAAGGTATAGTGTTCCAGAGATAAAAGATCGCCAATATTTGCAAATCATATGGGAGGGAAAAGCCAAATGGTACGAAATTATGTCTATGTTTCCTACGGAATTAGCTGCTGAATCCAACACTTAGAACGTCAGAACCCCCAAAGCAGCAAAAGGTATAGTGTTTCAGAGATAAAAGATCGCCAATGTTTGCAAATCATATAGGAGGGAAAAGCCAAATGGTACGAAATTATGTCTATGTTTCCTACGGAATTAGCTGCTGAATCCACCACTTAGAACGTCAGAACCCCAAGAAGCACCAAAAGGTATAGTGTTCAAGAGGTAAAGATCGCCAATTCAATATTTGCAAATCATATGGGAGGGAAAAGCCAAATGGTACGAAATTATGTCTATGTTTCCTACGGAATTAGCTGCTGAATCCAACACTTAGAACGTCAGAACCACCAAAAAGCACCAAAAGGATCCAAAAGGTAGAGTGTTCCAGAGATAAAAGATCGCCAATGTTTGCAAATCATATAGGAGGGAAAAGCCAAATGGTACGAAATTATGTCTGCGTTTCCTACGGAATTAGCTGCTGAATCCAACACTTAGAACGTCAGAACCACCAAAAAGCACCAAAAGGATCCAAAAGGTATAGTGTTCCAGAGATAAAAGATCGCCAATATTTGCAAATCATATGGGAGGGAAAAGCCAAATGGTACGAAATTATGTTTATGTTTCCTACAGAATTAGTTCCTGAATCCAACACTTAGAACGACAGAACCCCCAAAAAGCAACAAAAGGATCCAAAAGGTATAGTGTTCCAGAGATAAAAGATCGCCAATGTTTGCAAATCATAAAGGAGGGAAAAGCCAAATGGTACGAAATTATGTCTATGTTTCCTACGGCATTAGCTGCTGAATCCAACACTTAGAACATCAGAACTCAGAACCCCCAAAAAGCACCAAAAGGTATAGTGTTCCAGAGATAAAAGATCGCCAATATTTGCACATCATATGGGAGGGAAAAGCCAAATGGTACGAAATTATGTCTATGCTTCCTACGGAATTAGCTGCTGGATCCAACACTTAGAGATAAAAGATTTCACAAGCCTTTCCACTATCATCAGTGACCTAGACACGTTCTAAGTGTTAAATCCCCGGTACGTTCTAAGTGATGAATCTTGATATTTGGACGTTCTAAGTGTATGGTTTTCGACGTTCTAAGTGCAAGGCTTAGAACGTAAAAAAAGCAGTAATATTCAGAATTTTTTTTCCAAAATACGTTCTAAGTGATTGTCCGTCACTATATATATATATATTATTCTTATTAATATTATTATATAATATTATATAATCAACATTCATCAGCAATATTTGGATATATGTGGAACATCAAAGCCATTAGATATTTGTCTTTCGAAAAATCGACAAAAAACATATTTCTCCATTCACTACCTTCAAGGCCAACGCATCTCCGGCAGGAAGTCTGCGATAAGAACGTGACTCGACCTGTGGCACTTCATGCATCCAGTACTGGTGAGCACCTCGACTACAGCCAGTTGCCTGTGCAGCTGGAGATGTTTTGAGAAAGTGTTGACAAAACATGACAAGACAATACAAACAACAGCACATATCAGCACATATCAGCACATGCAACTTCAAGTCTTGTCACAAAGTACCTACCTATCGTTAAGTCCACTACATTCTGATACTGACTGGACCTGACAGGTGCTTCATGAAGTCACAATCACACTCATTGTAGTTCCCCACCTGCCAGGTGAGGGTTGTTAGATTTTATGTCAGTTGCCTGCTCCTCTCCTCCTCTCCTCTCCTCCTCCTCCTGCTCAACCGCGACCCTCGACGCACAGTGTTCTCTGTCGGACCTCAACCACGACCATCCACGCCCAGTGTTCCCTGCCGGACCTCAACCACGACCATCCCCGCCCAGTGTTCCCTGCCGGACCTCAACCACGACCATCCACGCCCAGTGTTCCCTGCCGGACCTCAACCGCGAGTATCCACGCCAAGTGTTCCCTGCCGGACCTCATGTAGGAAGATATGGGACAAAGAATGTGCAGAAGAAAGTTAGAAAGAATGTCAGACAAGTATGTTATATATTACTTGCAAACTCGCGCGTGTGTGGTAGAGTGACCGGGGCAATGCCACTTCTTACTTTGCAGGTGGTCCACTGGCCTGTTTGGTCATGTTTAAGCAAACCTGTTGAGAGCTCTGGAGTTTACTTCACATGGCCCACTGACATGTTTATCAAAGGAAGTTTAGGGGGAGAAACTTCCGTGTTACGGACTTTTAGAATGTCAGGGAGAGAGTTAGTCAAAGAAAGAGTTAGTGAGGGAAAGAGTTAGTCAAACAAAGAGGTAGTCAAAGAAACAGTTAGTCAGGGAAAGAGTTAGTCAAAGAAAGAGTTAGTCAAACAAAGAGTTAGTCAAAGAAACAGTTAGTCAGGGAAAGAGTTAGTCAAAGAAAGAGTTAGTCAGGGAAAGAGTTAGTTAAAGAAAGAGTTAGTCAAAGAAAGAATTAGTCAAAGAAACAGTTAGTCAGGGAAAGAGTTAGTCAAAGAAAGAGTTAGTGAGGGAAAGAGTTAGTCAAAGAAAGAGTTAGTCAAACAAAAGAGTTAGTCAAAGAAAGAGTTAGTCAGGGAAAGAGTTAGTCAAAGAAAGAGTTAGTGAGGGAAAGAGTTAGCAAAGAAAGAGTCAAAGAAAGAGTTAGTCAAAGAAATAGTTAGTCAGGGAAAGAGTTAGTCAAAGAAAGAGTTAGTCAAAGAAAGAGTTAGTGAGGGAAAGAGTTAGTCAAAGAAAGAGTTAGTGAGGGAAAGAGTTAGTCAAAGAAAGAGTTAGTCAAACAAAGAGTTAGACAAAGAAACAGTTAGTCAGGGAAAGAGTTAGTCAAAGAAAGAGTTAGTGAGGGAAAGAGTTAGCAAAGAAACAGTTAGTCAGGGAAAGAGTTAGTCAAAGAAACAGTTAGTCAGGGAAAGAGTTAGTCAAAGAAAGAGTTAAAACTCTAGGATGGTTCCCTCACTGTAAATGGCATTGCAAGTGGTGCTGGTGGAGGAGTTGCCGATGGAGTTTTGGAGGAAGTCTCGCACGAAATGCGTTTTTGAGAGATAGCAGATGCACGAAACCCTATGTTTTTCCATACAAAGTGCGTCCCCGAACCTCGCTGATCTACCTCAGCGGTGCGACGGGTGCGAGACGGTCTCGTGTGTGGTCGGATCATGCTCGGATATGTTCGGATCATCCTCGGATCATTCTCGGATCGGTTCCGCATTGTAAATGGGGTGTCAACTGTTTTTCGTGCATGTGTGGTCGACAGAATTCCATTGTGATTTGCAACTGTAGGATCGTTCCCGCAATGTAAATGGGGTTGCAAGTGTTGCTGGTGGACGAGTTGCTGATGGAATTGCATTGTGATTTGCAACTTTAGGATCGTTCCCTCACTGTAAATGGCATTGCAAGTGGTGCTGGTGGAGGAGTTGCCGATGGAGTTTTGGAGGAAGTCTCGCACGAAATGCGTTTTTGAGAGATAGCAGATGCACAAAACCCTATGTTTTTCCATACAAAGTCCGTCCCCGAACCTCGATGATCTACCTCTGCGGTGCGACGGGTGCGAGACGGTCTCGTGTGTGGTCGGATCATTCTCGGATATGTTCGGATCATTCTCGGATCGGTTCCGCATTGTAAATGGGGTGTCAACTGTTTTTCGTGCATGTGTGGTCGACAGAATTCCATTGTGATTTGCAACTGTAGGATCGTTCCCGCATTGTAAATGGGGTTGCAAGTGGTGTTGGTGGATGAGTTGCCGATGGAATTCCATTGTGATTTGCAACTCTAGGATCGTTCCCTCACTGTAAATGGGATTGCAAGTGGTGCTGGTGGAGGCGTTGCCGATGGAGTTTTGCAGAAAGTCTCGCACGAAATGCGTTTTTGAGAGATAGCAGATGCACGAAACCCTATGTTTTTCCATACAAAGTCCGTCCCCGAACGTCGATGATCTACCTCTGCGGCGCGACGGGTGCGAGACGGTCTCGTGTGTGGTCGGATCATGGTCGGATCGGTCTCGGATCATGTTCGGATCATGTTCGGATCGGTTCCGCATTGTAAATGGGGTTTCAGCTGTGTTTCGTGCATGTGTGGTCGACAGAATTCCATTGTGATTTGCAACTGTAGGATCGTTCCCGCAATGTAAATGGGATTGCAAGTGGTGCTGGTGGAGGAGTTGCCGATGGAATTCCATTGTGATTTGCAACTCTAGGATCGTTCCCTCACTTTAGGATGAGTTGCCGATGGTCATTGTGATTTGCAACTCTAGGATCGTTCCCGCAATGTAAATGGGATTGCAAGTGGTGCTGGTGGATGAGTTGCCGATGGAATTCCATTGTGCTTTGCAACTGTAGGATCGTTCCCGCAATGTAAATGGGATTGCAAGTGGTGCTGGTGGATGAGTTGCCGATGGAATTTCATTGTGATTTGCAACTGTAGGATCGTTCCCGCAATGTAAATGGGATTGCAAGTGGTGCTGGTGGATGAGTTGCCGATGGAATTCCATTGTGCTTTGCAACTGTAGGATCGTTCCCGCAATGTAAATGGGATTGCAAGTGGTGCTGGTGGATGAGTTGCCGATGGAATTTCATTGTGATTTGCAACTCTAAGATCGTTCCCGCAATGTAAATGGGATTGCAAGTGGTGCTGGTGGATGAGTTGCCGATGGAATTCCATTGTGCTTTGCAACTGTAGGATCGTTCCCGCAGTGTAAATGGCTGCGTCAAGGTTGCTTCTTGCCACGGCTGCATGCGTAATACTATTGTCTTTTGCAGCTGGACTTCGTAAATCGTATTGGCGTGGCTGCATGAAGGCTGCGACAGTGATTTGTCAGCAGATTTTCTCCATTTTGGCGCTAGTAATTTTCCTTTTAAAAATCCTTTTAAAAAGTGCTTCAAAATCGTCTTTTTTTCGCTTTGGCGTCGAGATCCGGTTTTGGAGCTGCAATTTCCGACCCAGTTGCGCGTAGTTCTATTGTGTTTTGCAACTCAGTCTTTGCAGATCGCATTGTAATGGCTGCGTCAAGGTTGCTTGGTGCCGCGGCTGCATGCGTAATACTATTGTTTTTTGCAGCTGGACTTCGTAAATCGTATTGGAGTGGCTGCATGAAGGCTGCGACAGTGATTTGTCAGCAGATTTTCTCCATTTTGGCGCTAGTGATTTTCCTTCTAAAAATCCTTTTAAAAAGTGCTTCAAAATCGTCTTTTTTTCGCTCTGGCGTCGAGATCCGGTTTTGGACCTGCAATTTCCGACCCAGTTGCGCGTAGTTCTATTGTGTTTTGCAACTCAGTCTCCGCAGATCGCATTGTAATAGCTGCGTCAAGGTTGCTTCATGCTGAGGCTGCATGCGTAATACTATTGTCTTTTGCAGCTGGACTTCGTAAATCGTATTGGAGTGGCTGCATGAAGGCTGCGACAGTGATTTGTCAGCAGATTTCCTCCATTTTGGCGCTAGTAATTTTCCTTTTAAAAATCCTTTTAAAAAGTGCTTCAAAATCGTCTTTTTTTCGCTCTGGCGTCGAGATCCGGTTTTGGAGCTACAATTTTCCGACGCCGTTGCACGTAGGTTTAGAGCAGTGAAGTGTGGGGCGTGAAGAGTGCAGTGTGAAGTGTGCAGTGTGAAGGAAGCAGTGGGAAGTGAGAAGTGTGAAGTGTGGAGTGTGAAGTTTAAGTTTGGAGTGTGAAGGAAGCAGTGAGAAGTGACAAGTGTGAAGTGTGGAGTGTGAAGTAATTCCATCGTTCGTGCGGTTGTATGTTGATAACCTCCATAAAATGACCACCGTGACTTTGATTAGTGTGACCATACCTGATGTGACTGTGACTGTGACTATTCTGATCATGACTACTGTGACCATAGATACTATGACAAAGACTACTTTGACAATGACCGTTGTGGCTGTAACTGTAGTGACAATGAGTATTGTAACTGTTTGGACTGGCCCCTTTTTAGGTAATGACAGTGGGAAGTAGAAGTGACGGCATTAGTGTCCCAAGAATAAATGACTAGAAAGTGAAGTGTGGACTGTGAAGTGTGGAGTGTGAAGTTTGGAGTGCAAAGAGTGCAGTGTGAAGTGTGGAGTGTGGAGTGTGAAGTGTGAAGTTTGGAGTGTGAAGGAAGCAGTGAGCAGTAAGAAGTGTGAAGTGTGGACTGTGAAGTGTGAAGTGTGAAATGTGGAATGTGAAGTGCGAAGTGAGTGTGAAGTGTGAAGTTTGGAGTGTGAAGGAAGCAGTGAGCAGTGAGAAGTGTGAAGTGTGGACTGTGAAGTGTGAAGTGTGAAATGTGGAGTGTGAAGTGCGAAGTGAGAAGTGTGAAGTGTGAAGTGTGGAGTGTGAAGTGCAAAGTGAGAAGTGTGAAGTGTGAGGTTTGGAGTGTGAAGTGTGGAGTGTGAAGTGTGGAGTGTGAAGTGCGAAGTGAGAAGTGTGAAGTGTGAAGTTTGGAGTGTGAAGGAAGCAGTGAGAAGTGAGAAGTGTGGACTGTGAAGTGCGAAGTGTGAAGTGTGGAGTGTGAAGTTTGGAGTGTGAAGGAAGCAGTGAGAAGTGAGAAGTGTGAAGTGTGGACTGTGGAGTGTGAAGTTTGGAGTGCGAAGAGTGAAGTGTGAAGTGTGGAGTGTGAAGACTTTGCTTCGTCTCTCGCTGAAAAAAAACCGCTTGTCGAGGGAAGGACACGCTCGGGACAGGCTGGCCTTGAACTATAGGTCATTTATTCTTGGGAAACTTCCGCCGCCGGCTTGCCCGGGTCTATGTTATCCTGTTTGACAGACTGACATGCACAATGACCTGCCAGGTGAAACAAATGATTGGGATGGTTAGTTGGGCAAAAGTCCCGTGACAAAAGCTTCAGACAAAAGTGGTGTCAACAAGCTGTTTTGAAATGTCATGGTGGGGATCACTCGAAGCAAAGTAATTTTTATCATGCGCCCTCTTTTGTTCTCTTGTTTAACTCACGAAAGGTAGCGTCAGCTACCTGAGTTCTCCGTGCTTCAGCGCAATCATAGGGGGTATTGGGGGGGCCAGCCCGTGCAAAACGTAGAATTCTCGACGTTATGTATTAGATATCAATTATAAGGGGGGCCCCCCCCCCTCTAAAATGGTCATGGGTTCAATTCCCATGGGTGACGCGGTCACGGTCCGCCACAGTAGAGGCACACTCTCCATGAGGGAGATGTCCCTGTAGTCCAGCATAATTGGTTTGCTTCAGCCTCAATAACAGTTGCTGCAAGGGGTCTTAAAAAGGGGGTTTTAATAAACCCCTTTTCGTGCATCATTTCACGCTGCACAAGACACCGTATCATGCAGTCATGCTCTGGATAAAATGATCTTAGACTGCGCAAAACGTTTTTGGTGTATCATCTTAGGGGCGCAGCATTTTTGACACCACTCCTCTCCCACTACACTACCTTTCGTCCGCCTCCGCCTGCTCTCAAGTCTTTTTATAGATCTGCCCAGGTTGGCATCGCTGCAGGCCATTGTCTACCATGGCTGGCCAGTGGTAGGTGGCTGTCGCCTCCAAGCGGCACAACCTGCAATTTTCCAGCCGCGAGTAGCCGTGCTGATCGGGCCCCTTGGCTTGTTGAGATCGGGCCGAGCGGTTTATACATGTCTCGACTCGTCTCGACCTCGTTCGCTTTTTGGATCTCTTGATGGATCTTGAAATACAACCTTTTGATGCCGGAATTGTATCTAGGCCTGGTGATGTTTGTAGAGAACAGGGACTTGTGTTGCATTTTAGTATATTTTAATACTTGATGGGCAAACTGCAATCTGGTGCTCAAGAGTATAGAGGTCAACTTTGGCAGATGTTGGCAGGCATCTTGGTCCTTTGTTCTGAGGTCCCTGCTCCGTGGTCTTCACAAGTTGGGACACATGCTCCGGAGACTGTGACTTGAACATCTGTGGGGCAAGAAGCTGTGGCACTATGCGGCATTAACAAATATGGGGCAGATTTCATGACAAGCTTCTGCACTCTGGGGATACTATTTGCAAGCCTTCCATCCACTGCAGCATCAAGTTTTTGCCGGACCTTTCACCATGTTTCACCCAAGGTTTCGAGACAGACGGATTCGATATCGGATCTTCATCTATTCTTCACCGCTACTGGCCATGGGAAACAACTTGGGCTGTGTCCAACTGCTGGATGGCCTTCTCCAAGACATGCCTCATCGCCTCACGGTCAGATATGCCACACGGAGCGAGAATCTGCAGGAGGAAGAGTTTGAAAGGACGGTGCACTCCAGGCGCATTTTGGATTTTGACATGTTTTGATGTTTCAAGTGCCATTTCCTGGACTGTAAACCAGGAACATCCAGCTGATTGATGTTTCATGATGTTTCTAAGGGTCACATGCAACTCATGAGAAAGGTAATGAGACCGTATGGTAATGCAGTCATGTACGCTGACTTCTTGGACTTTGATGCACAGCTCACAGCAGAAGCTGTACTTTGCGAGTCCTTAGCGAACTTATGCCCATCGGCCATGTGACAGGCATATGAGACAGTGGTTCAAACTGGAACGAGCATATGACATGATGGAGGCCTATGAGCAGAAGCATCAAAGCTTTGATTTGGTCTTAAAACTGAGGACTGAGGCTAGGTTGGATGCCCTGCAACCCCAGCTCAGCACTTCTGCGTATAGAAAGCCAGTAGAATGGCGCAGCGCGTTGAGATCAATGAATCAGAAGTCATTCTCCTCGATTGAACCGTACATCACTGACATCTCTTCACTTGCTTCTGATTTTTTGCGTATTTGAGTCCGTACCATCTCTGAGTTTCCATGTATATTGTATATGATATAATTATTAATATATATATGTATATACAATTATACACATATAAACATATATATATATAATACATATATATATATATATGAATATATATATATATATATATGAATATATATATATATATGTATGAATATATATATACCTTATAAATCCAAAACCGAACTTTTTCTAGGGTTTACTCCAAAACCCGAGGTTTACGCACAAAACCCGAGGTTTTCCAAAACCTCAATTTTTCCAATTCTGATTGTTGTGTTGAATTCCGTGCTGGATCAAATAAGTGCATGCTGATGCGGTCTTTTCCCTGGCAGAGCTCACGACTTTGCACGTCAGGCACTTAGATCCACAGTTTGGCAGAGAAAAGTCACGTAGGTCGAATGAGATAGCCTCCCTCAAGATATTGACGATAAGCTGACTGCAAATATCGTCTCATCACCCGCACCATCACTGGGGTTCTCGATGTCACCCGTCTCGATACTCTGCTCGGCCTCCCTATAAAGTCCTCGTCCTGTTGGACGCTGAGCGCGATGGGATTGACTGCTGGCACACCTTGTTCGGACTTGGCCAAGAGTGTCAGCATCATCTTCTGGATTGCGTGGTGCTTGGGCATCACAACGAAGAGAGCGCGACCATCATTTTTTGCAGCAGCACTCAACTCTGCATAGCGACGAAGAAATCTCATACCTTGCCCTCCAATTTCAGCAGAGTCTGAAGGGTCCAAGAGGACGCTACTTTCATACATCTGGGACACTGCCTTGTTGATTGCCACAGATGCTTCTCCAGCCATCGGAAGAAAAGGGTCTTCCGACAGATCTTCATGCAGAAAGCGGTGCTCAATCCATTTCATCATCACTGTGGACACTGCACCTTTGTGCCATCCAGCCGATGGGAAGCAACCTGTCGTTGGCCACTGAATGGTCTCTTTGGTAATCTTCGTCAGAACACTCCCAAGTCTTTGCTGGGAGCAAAACGATCGATACCGGGCAGACAAAAGTTCGAATCTCTCGTCGATGTTTCTAGCTGGTTCCAAGTCCGAATACATTGCCAATACGGAGCCAATGAAGTTCCGGGCAACACCTAGATGAAAGGAATGGAATAAGTCAAATGCCCATATGTTGGCAGACTCGTTGGGAACGTGGTCCAGCTGTAGAAAAGGAGACGGTGCCGTGAAGGGCGACTGCTCATGCATTGTCTGCAGCCAAATGGGACGTCTAGTCTGAATTTGTTCGTAAGGAACTCCTTCCTGACCAGCACGGCAAATGTGGCAAATCCCTTTGGGAGGCTCCCTCCTGCTTGCACCGGCTTTCTTGGTGATATTGCTGAAGCTGCGTGCCAAGTGGCCACTCTTTGCTAGGAACGGCCAGTCGCCGCAAACATTGATCAAAACCATCCAATATCTGCGGTTCCATTCATCACAGACACCAGTTGTTGCCATGAATTGTAAGTCAGCACAAAGAGAATCCAAGACCGCATCAAATATATGCGCGTTGTCGCCCGTATAAGACGCTTTTGTCAAAGTTGCAAAAAGATACCTTGTCGTGTAGCTGTGCCCGCTGAAGTTCGGCAGAAGCTTGGCATACTGCTTCCGCAGGAGTTTCCCTTTTTCAGATCGATGCAAGGGGCCAGTGCCACGTCCTAAAATTGAATGCCAGCTCAGAATCATGATGGCGGAGCGACGACGGCTCCGACCTTCATCTCCATGTACCAAAATGCCAGCAGTACGTGACAAATCAATTTCACCTGTCAGCCTTTGCAAAAACAGTGTGGTGCGGGCTGTAGGCCCTAAATTTTTGCCAAAAGGAAGACCATTGTGAAGCACTTCTTTTCGCATCTGGTTGCTGGAGGCCTGACAACATGTGCCACAAATTGTGGTCGACAATCCACTTTGCCCAGTCGCGGAGCTTGAGAAGTGGCACCACTAAGTTCTTGTCACCGGTTGGCAAAAAACTAATGGGCACATCCAACGCTAGTTCAAGCTTATCCACCAACAACCTCTGAGCATCTCTCTCTGAGTTGCTGCTGGCGTTGCAACGTGCCAGCTGAATCAACCCCCCAGACCGCTTGGCCGCAGATTCACCTATGTCCTTGACCACGTCCTGTGCGGTTCTTATTGCCGCAGCGCATGAGGCCTAGGAAACCGGCAAGGTGCTCGTACCGTGAGAAAAATGTGGAAGATGGGAAATGACCAGGCGGTCCAACTTCTATATGCAATGGCGAATGTCTTGTGGCTGTATTTCACATTCCTTTCTTTCGAAGATAAAACATATTCATATATATATATATACAACATATATACAATATATCTATTTAAATTATATATATACAATATATTTATAATTTGTATGCCCTGAGGGAGGCTATCTCAACGGCTGACACTTTGCACAACCAGCAAACCGCAACTGTGGCTACGACCGCTGCCCATGTGGTGGAAATCATTTTTTGAACTTGAGACCCTTAACATTTGCATATAGGTTTTTCTATATGCACGTGTGAAACTTCCCAAACTAAGCAGCTAGAGCTAGCGACAACACCTTCTAATTGGAGGTGGGTGTTTGAAAGATCTGTACACCACATAGGTCAAGAACCGATCCCGCCCAGAGGTCCACGATGGAGAAGAATCGCCTCCAAGCTTGATGTTCTTGCAGCCAGGCATGCCTGAGATCAACGGTTTTGGATTCCTGTTTAGCGGACTACCCTTTTAACACATATTATAATGATATTTGAAGGGGACCTCGCCAATTTCATAAAAACATGCAATATTATCTCATCTTAGATACCCTTGAACTGGTGAATAAGGGCCGCTTCGAGCATGCAAGGGCCGGCGGGCTCGTTGCTAATCCAGAGAACCAGCATGTTGGACCATCTTTCAACACTATGTTTGTATCCGTAAATTCTGTTGTGCCAACGCCAAACTTCGCAGTGGGTCACCCCCACCTTAAAAATCAGAGGCTTCTGTGCAGATATCAGTTTCTCCATTTCAGCCTGGCAATGTTTGAGTACAGCTCCAGCCACAGCTCCGGCGCAGGGAAGTTTGAAAGCTATGACTGGATCAGCAGGCTCCTCAAGTTTACGTTTGGACTGGTTGGGTGGTGGCTCCAACTTCTTGTTTTCACTCGAATCCATAGGGTCCAAACCATGCAGTGAAAATTGGTCACCGCAATCCTCTTGCTCTTGATTTCGAACTTCATCTAGTGAGGGTGAAGATTCTATGCAGCCAGACCTGGTGTCATGTGAACTCGAACTCGAACAAGAAGACCATGGAAATGCGCCATCTTTTTCCTTAGCTATGCGGTCGTGGATATTGTAGAAAACACTGGTTCCTTGACTGTTTTGTTTGAAATGATTCCTTCCCAGGGTTTTTGTCCACTTTTACCCTGTGGCAACTTGGAAACGAAAATGCAAATGTGGCAATAAATGCCAAAGGTCAGAGCGGTGACATGTAAGCAAATCCAATAGTTCGTCTTCAGGTAGTTCACTGTGATCCCAGAGGGTTGCAGAACCAACCATTTAAATCAAAGAACGGCTGCGGCTATCATGGTTTGATGTTTCCAAATGGCTGAGTGAAATCATCCGTGCATTGTATTTTTCTATGTTGTTCTCATGCATCAAATTTCCCACTACTTGACAAAAATCAAATCCTAGGATTGCTATGGTTCCTGTAGCTCCAAATATCTCTCAATTGAGCGCCATGCGCCCTCTCCGATGCCAGCGCTCAGGCCGCGAATTGTGTGGCCAGGCTTGACACCTGGCAGAGTCTGTATGGGATGAACCGGGACCACATGCAATGAACATGGGGGAAAGATCCTTGAACATTGGCCGGATAATATCATCACGTTGGCACCATAGTAGATGAACAAAAGTTCTTTTGGAAATGCGTAAATTTTGGTGATATGGCACGACATCTGTTTTGAAGGGGTGGCAAAGGCACATGGAGACCTATGCGCCCAAGATTTTTCGGACTCGATCGGACCATCGCACACCTTCGGCTTCATGCTTCAAGTTCCGCAGGTGATGCCAGTCACCCCAACCCCCGGAGTTGCTAGAAGAGGACCGTAGAGAAATCCACGGTTGACGGACGGACGTTTGACACGACCTATCACTGCACCAAGCATTTTGAAGGCCTGGTGTGAAAGAGGTGCATACACATGATAATAAGACATATTTTTTTGGTGAGAATTATTTAGCAAACACTTTTGCACTTGGTTGTCTTTTTATAGTGGCGAAAAAATGCCATTGGATATGCACCAAAAACCCAGCAAAGCATTGAGACATTTGTCTAGACCTTGGCCGATCGCCTTTTGGGCTTGGCCGCCACCTTTACGGCAGGCTCAGCTTTGGCCTTTGCACGTCCCGTTTCAGGCTTCTTCTTGTCATAGTATTTCTTTGCATTCCTGAAATTAAATGCCAACAACCTGTCATCCCCTACTTGGTGAGGTGCTGCAGTGTAGGATGAATCTGGTGTTTCACCGCTGCTGGCCCACGCAGGACCTTCACACAGATCAGTCCTGACTTTGAGCTCTGCAGCGGCCGCTTTGCTGCACCTGGGCAGGAGGTGGGAAAACAACAAAGTGACCTGGTTGGCCAGGACTTGCCCAATCATTTTCCGAAAGGCTTGGTTACCAGCTCTTACAGGGAAAAGCTTAAGTCGTTTCTTTTTTTTGATTTTTGCACACCCTTTCAGCACAAAATGGTTCTAGGATGTCGTACCTTTTCCTTCATTATGCTTGTGATTCCCATGTTTTGGGATATGTACGGGTTGATCATGTGTTGTGCTGTGGAAGATGCGGTGCCTTGCTGTTGTGCCTGCTTGGGGCTTAGATATGACTAGTAGGTAGCCAATCAGTTCTATGGCGGTGTCATTGTGAATTGTCTTTGCAATGAATTATGTTCCTTCCCGAATATATATTTCATGGCTACATTGATTGTTGTATATAGTTCCTACTGTTCCTGCAAATTTTGATTGCCGGAGCAATCTTGATTTGATATTTGCTTGTTTAGGCTGTCTGTGGGAAGCCGACCCGAGTGAAGCCCAACAATGGGCAATATGTTTTGTGAAAAATTTGCAACAACAAATAATACATGGGGTCTTAAAAGTCTTGCAGAAAGGATTCCTTGAAACGCGGTTCCACAACGGCAGCGACGACATCCTTCGAACACATCACTATAACTTCTTTCATGCCGGTGACCGGGGATCCCTTGCCTGTGGGGGTTATTCTTTCGCGCAAGAGCTTGAATGATTCTATGCCTGACTTATGGCCTGAAGCAAAGTTCTGGTGCAGTGACAGCGGTTCTCAGACACCTGAAACATTCCCTGCCATGTTGGAAGCTTGCTGCTTGAAACCCTTGAGGGAGAGGTTCCCGGATCGCAATGACAAGATACTTCTGGTCATGGATGGAGGAGGGGGCTCGTGGCTGCACATCTCGGTGCCTATGGTCTTACTTCTTGAGAGGTATGGTGTGGAATGTTTCATTCTTCCGTCGCATACCACGGCGGCGCTGTGCGCCCTGGACCAGCAGCCGCACCAACTGATGAGCTTGAGATGGGGCACTTTCAAAGCTCAGTGGTCAAGAAGTGGAAACGATTTAAATATTTTTCAGGCAATAGCAGCCCTGAGGCGCATCGTGGCAGAAGCTTTGTCGCCTCAGAACGCCTTAGCGGGTTGGGCCCGCGTTGGTGTTCAGCCAAATGAGCTGATGCAAAAGCACGTGGTCCTTGAGGAAAGATTTTCTGAACTCTTTACTTCCAAAAAGTCTGGAGGAGGTTCCCTTCCTGCACCACAAACCTCCACGGCTGATGCCTTGTCCCTTGTCAGTCAGATCTCTCCAAAGAAGAAGAAATGCGGACAAAATTCCTGCAAAAGCATGGTTGCAGTGACAATGAGATTCTGCCCGGAGTGTGCCTCACCCAATGCTCATTTTGACCAGGCAGAAGCAGACATGTTTAGAAGCGGCCGCAGAAAGGGCTGGCACAAGCCGCCACAACCAGAAGTTCCGCAGCTACCAGAAACACCCGCAGAAAGAAGGCTCGCTCAAGGAGTTGGCGATTTGCTGGGCCGGCTCCGTCGAGGTGGTGCAGCTCAAAGCGAAGATGCAAGTGCCAAACCTTCGCAGACTGGTGACGGTGTTGCAGAGATCCAAGAACCACCTTGCAAGCAGCAAAAAACAGAACATAAAGCGGCATCTTTTTCGAAGCCTTCTACTGTGGAGCTGGGGCCGGAGCCTTTGGAGGAGGATGAAGATGCATCAGACCCAGAGTGGAATCTCAATAGCCCAGATGATTGCTGCTCCTTTATTGAGCATTACTTTCCTGCAAAGGAGGCAGAGGCCTTGGGCGTTTCAATCGACATGTTCTCCAAAGTTGCCAAATTTTATGTGAATTTCTTGCGAACCTAGAGAACTCCCAAAGCAGATTTGTGCGTGCATTTTGCCAAAGAAATTATCGAACCAAAGACCCTGAACTCAAAAGCTGGGCGAAAGAACTGGTTGCAGACCTGGCTGACGGAGCGCAAGCGTGTCTTCGTACCGAAGACTTAAGTGAGGAAAAAAGTTGCCTGTTTGCGATGCCATGTGTAAGGCACTGTAGAGATAGCGGTGCCATGCAGGAACGAGAATCCGGAGTTGATTTCATACAATGTTATTTGAGCCTTCTAATGATAGCTATTCCATGCTAAAACGGGGGTTTGGAACATCTACTTAGCACTTTGTTGTGCATATCCCCATCGCGGTGCCATGCTGAAACGCCGGGTGGGCATGACTTAGGCGTGACTTCTGGAAACAGCGGTGCCATGCAGAAGTAGGGTTAGGGCATGACTTAGGTATGAGTTAGGCTTCCCGCTGTACTTGCTAAGAATGGAACACAAAGGTTGCCGCTTTCATCTTCGATTCCGCATCCTTGACAAACCTTGTCGCAAGAAAAACTGAGTGGATAATTGGTAAGACTCTGAGAGGGGATGGTGTTCGCTTTAACAAGCAAACATTCTGGTCAAGAAACTCATCAGTAGCGAATCTGTCAGCTTCACCCTTCGCCCAAGCTTCGTTGCAAAGATCATACTGTTGATCAACCTTCTTGATCTCAGCTTCGAGGGTGGCCACACACCTTAAAGGTAGGAGCGTGACCGTATGGCTGAAACAGGTACCCGGTTGAAATTCAAACGCAGAAAAAAACGAGATTGACAGAGAGATGAAAAATTGCAGATAGCATGGGATGGGTCAAGGTGTTTTTCAAATAATCCCAGAAACTGTCCAGCGGCTGGATCCACATACTGGGTCTTCAGTTCCCGGACAAGCTTTCTCATCGCGCCAGTTTTGGCCATGATTGACTCCATGAAACGTCCCAAGCTATCTTTGACCTCCAGCTCTTTTGAAACATGTTGGTCCTTTTCTGTGACTGTTGTAAAACGGGAAATGCTGGGAAACTATACTGCGGTTACGTCCTGCGCTTGAAAGAAACACAGTTGCCTGCGTGTACTTGTTCTGCTCACCAGGCTTCGGTCCACCAACCTGGTTTTGCTTGTCCGCCCGGGCTTCATACGAAGCCATGGACTTGAAGCTTTCGTCCATGTTCCAAGAAGGTTCACCATCGGCCTGGATGGCAAGGCAACTTCTTTAATATTTAGACACCCAGAAGAAGGTTTATGTAGAAGCTACTAAGGCTACTAAGGAAAAGGGACAGGGTTGATTGCACATTGGACTGTGAGCAGGCTTGAACGGCTTGGACCAAAATTATATGTGGGGTATGGCCTGCTTCTGACGCTTGTGGATTTCCTCAAAGCTCTGCTCCTCCTTTCGTTTTCCCGTTTCCTTCAGCACTACCCAGTACTCCTCCTCGTTGTCGTAGAGGTTCTTTCTGCATCGGAAATGTGATGTGGACAATAAAACAGCATACCTTCTCAAAATGTAGAGTCTCTCGGAATGTCCAAAGTTGAGCACTCATACAAAGACTGCAACAGAGCATAACTGTAATATTTCACACTGGTGTGGGTGGCGAAAGCGCCTGACATGGGTCTCCGGCAGGCTCAAACAATAGGCCTTTGCACCGTTGATCTTGGTCCTGGGCCGTGGCATATGGTTATGTTGAGAGAACAAGTATGGTTGAAGTGTTGAGAAATGTATATGGAACTGTTGTAAGGCAAGGGCTGTGACCAGCCAACTTCATCTCGCAACTCGGACTCGGAGAACCACCCCTCTTCAACCTCCACAGAAACCACCTTCTTCTTCGTCACCACGACGTGAAGGGAATTCAAAAAGGCTTCCTGCGTGGATCTGCGTGGCTGGTGGCAGGAAAACCAGTGTTGAGAACATTGTGAAGATACGCAGGCGTAGTAGAAGCCAAGAAAAAATGTGTATAAATATATATATATATATATTACACTGTATATTATATTTAAAAACATGCATGATGCATAAATAGGAAACAGAAAGTTTTGGAGACGAAAGACATGCCCATGCATTAAACAGGTATATATATAATATGTTTGGTCCTTGTCAAAGTTGGCCGAGCAAAGGAGATCAGCGATCTGGTTCTTGTTCCCCTTGCCCCATTCTGCCTTGACCCATTCAGGTACTTCTAAGTCACGTCTCTTCGATTTAGCCTTCACCATTCGCATTATGCGAGCTTTTGCCGCAAGACGAAGCTTCAACTGCAGGGAGCCCCTTAGAAACACATGGCACCAACAAAAAAAAATGTATAGGTTTGGATTTTTTTCGTCAAACTTTCAACATTGAACCTTCCTGTCAGTCATGGGTTTTCGTCCTCCCTCCGGTGTTGGTGGTGTCTCTGGCACGGCGTCCGTAAGACTTCGAGGGGGTTCTGGAACTTGGGGAGCTGAACCCTCGGCAAGGCTTCGCACAGGCGTCGCCACTGGAGTCGGAGTCTCCACTTTAGCGGTGCCTGCTTCAACCTTCACAAGCACAGCCAAAAAACACACCCTTTGCAAGTGCACACCACCCTTCAAGCTTTACTCGACCACACCCGAACCATAAAATATATAGAAATGTTACTTAGGCATGAACGAAAAACATCAACACGACAGAGAAGGAGAAAAATGTACCTATTGACAATGGTCAACAAATGTATGCTTCTCCTGATTCACTTAATAACAAAACAGTGAACCCCTGAGACATGACCTTCTGTTGGTCAGATTCGTCCTGACCAGTAGTAGACTTTGCAGCATCGAGTTCTTGCGTAGAGGCCTCGTTGGCCGTTGGTCAGCCAAACCAACTGGAAACAAAGTTTAGCATACCAATTATTCTATATAGACGTATGATGTTGCTCTTTCATCCGAGATGATTTCCATGAAAAACAAACCCGAAACAATTCATGTTAGTTGCTTACAGCGTAAGTGGGTTTCCTTTTGTTCAGTCCACCCTTGTCACATTAATGAGTGCGGTGCTCCGACATGACTTCCGATTCTAAGGAAGTGACAGGAAGCGTTTCTGCAGAAGATATCGTTGGGGGCTCCTGGACCTGGGCACCGGGCTGTTGCTTAATTTGGTGTGATATGATGATATGATGTGTCCTAACTAAACCGGCTGTCTCTTTGAATAATTTTTCGGTATCTAAATATGTAATCAGCTGAAAAATGCTAAAATCGAACCAATATACAGTTCAAGTATTTGAAGGGTTGCCTCTGGAGGTGGAAAAGGAATAATGACTTATATATATTATATCGTTCCACCTTCTAAGCCGTTTATTTTCAAGCAAACTATGTGGCCCAAGGGCCCAACCTCAGCAGAAATCTTCGGTGTAGCTGGCGCTGTCAGCGCGATCTCGGCATCCAACTCCTGAGAAAGGAAGGGGTTACCATGTTCTTGTCAATGGGCAGAGTAGTGTTGGAAACACTAGATGCTATAGAAGCACCACAAACAAAAACCCAATCCTGCAGTTGGTTCAGAAGATCTTCCTCAGAAAGCTCTTTGCTGTCGGGCTGGCCTGCCCTATTCACAAACTCGATGCCATCCTGAAGTGTCTGGCAGCTGCCAAATCCCTGAGTGGATCGACTAGGACACCTGGACATGTTCTGTCTGGGGCCGCTGGGTGTCCTTGTAAGGGCCGCTTCCCAAAAAATGGCTGCTAACAATGACAGAGAGAAGGGATGGATCAAAGGCAATAGCACTGTTGCAATCGAGTCTTTTGCGAATGTTCCATTTGAATGGCAACCAAACATGAACTGAAAGAAAATAGCAGCTTCTGTACTGGGCATTTTCCCCTTTACTTTACGAATCCACGAACCATCATGGGTGGGAAATCCCACAGCCACAAATTTCTCGAATTAGGCTTGTTTGGCCATGAGCTCGCTCAAATCGAATTTCCATAAGGTGCCGATGTCCCTTGACAAATCAAGTTCAAACCTGTGAAAACGCAATGAATTTTCAACTATGTAAACCCATAAAAAAGTACGGGTTAGTACGGGTAAAGTACGGGTTTAGTACGGGTTCAGTACGGGTTTGAAAAACCCGAGGTTTTTTCACAAACCCGGGGTTTTCCCAGAAATACTACGGGTTAGTACGGGTTTAGTACGGGTTTAGTACGGGTTTTGTACGGGTTTTGTACGGGTTTGGAGCAAACCCGAACTTTTCCCCATCAAAAGGTGATAAATTATGTTAAATTGGGATAAAAGATGTATATAAACCGATATCTCCTGACCTGACTGGCGCTGGCTCCTGGGTGTGGTATGGGTTTGGTTTTTCCATATGTTTCAAAGGTCACCCTGCTAGTCTTTTCAATAAAAAATCACCAATAATGATTGTAGTCTATTTTGTACCAATGGGGAACCCCACAAAACGCTACAAACTGGAACACATACATTATCAAAAGTTTTAAGTTCACAATTCCCAGTCCAGTGAGGCTCAATCATTTTAAGGTATCAAGGGACTTTGGCACCACAGCCTTCCATTCTGGGGGTATGCGCAATGCAGCCGCCCCTCGAAGATAGTTAAACAATTGGGGAAGGTCGGCAAAAGACCACAAGTCAGGATCATCGTTCCATTCCGTAGTCTGGAATGTTTCAAGGGCTGGTGGCACACGGCTCGGAAGCTGAGGTTGCCCACGGCAAGACTTTTTCATATCCTCGACCAAATCCAGCACCTCTCTGGCGAATGCCATTGGGTAAATCCTGGGATGGGCGACCGGAACTGGGGATATCAGGGAATGATTGTGGTAAGGTAAACGATTTGGTTGGTCCAAACGACATGGTAGAAAATTCCCAATTATGGAAGATATATGATGTCACAATGAGAAAATACATAGATCGCTTTTACCCAAGATCCTATCCCCATGTTTTTCTGGTACTTGTATGGATTCTGCAAAAGAAAGATCAACTAGTAAACATCCATTGAATTCTGTTAAGGGTCATACAGCCAAAGTCTTTTAAAATGAAAACCAAAATTTGGGCACCAATGAAATGGGCTGAGTTTCTCCGTCTTCCGAAGATCGGCTGTTCCCTTGTACCGCTTAACCCCTTTGGAATCAATATATTTCACAACAGGAGTAGGGCCGCCCTTCTTCTTCTTCCACCCTTGTAGCACCCCCTTATCGAGTCGGGAAATCAAAGTTGAATTTCCAGCCCCCCAATGTCTCTTCGGGGTGCTGCTTTGGTAATGGCCCATCCACCACCGCACTTGAGTCACCTGGTTTATGCACTGGGGTTCACATTATGAACCAAAACTAACCAAAATAAACAATCCATGTTTTTGTAACAGTATGCGCTGCCAGCCGCTACATTTCGAAATCTGTTTGAAAACATTTCTGGAAACCCATCGTTAAATAAAAACATAACTGTAGATCAAAACCGTTTCCTACATAAATCCTTTTCAATCAAAACAGTGGAGTCACGCAGTTGGCACCGCCATGTTCGAACAACCGGCTCATTATTTCCCTCCAAGAGGGATAGAATTCCAGGAGGGAACCTCCCGGTTGCTCTACAGTCCAAAGCCCTCCAAGGCATGCCGTCAGTGCCACCATGAGACTGCTCCTGCGTCATGGCTGGGCAAGGGACGGGTGGGTAGTGTAGGGGATACGTTGCAACCCTTTGCAAATATCAACCATACATGAGCTATTCAACTTACTCATTCCCAAAACTTCCCAAACATAAACCCTAAACTTGGGAGGTGTTTTACAGTCCTTTCGATCAAAGTATTGGCAACAGCTACAGATGGGTAATCTGTGTATCCAACCGATGCGCATGCTGATCTTCGACTCGTACCACGGTTCATCTTGCAAAGTGAGCTGCATTTAAGTCCCAGGTGAATGGCAAAATCATTCGCTCGACATCTCAAAATACATAGTAAGGCCAACCTGAGCAGTTTCATCCCTCCACCCGTGGATATACTTATCGAATCCTACAATGGTCTGAAAAAAAATGGGTAGATCATGCGAAAGGGAGTTGGACCAGTTTTGATTGATGACATCAACCCCGAAAGAACAGTTGTGGAAACCTCTTCATACACCAGCCCATAAGCATTCATCGGGGGGTTGTCCAAAACACAATATATAGATTTGACAAGGAACCCAAAGCCAGATGCGTGACACAAGTTCATAAAATTACTCTTTCTTGTAGGTGGTTGCTCATGGTAGAGGACATCAAAGCTTCAGGTATTATAATGAGCACTTGCCATGCATTTGGAAAGATTGGCGGCCCCTGCATAGAACTCCAACTAGTCGAACTCCTGACAAGGACCATAGATAAACATGTTTGTCTTGTAGTTAGTGTTGAAAGTCGGATGTTTGTGATTTTTGTTTGAATGTCACCATGTAAAAGTTGTGTCCAACCTGAGTCACTTCGTACGTCCAAAGGAGTAAGAGTAGGCATAGAACGAATGCCTTGGAAGTGGGACAGGAGGTGCCACCCAGGCAACATAGCGATTTGATTCATGTTGAGAACAAAGCATCCACGAGAACATATATACATAATATATATATATAAAGCACATGTTGAAGAGTTAACATATATATACACCATATAAACATATATAAAGATTTATTTATTTATTGTTATATCATTTTGGGCTAGCGGCCCGGGGAAGTTTCATGGCCCCAAGCCGCCACATCAGCGCATCCAAGTCCAACATGGCTCAGTGCAAGAGCGGGTTCAGTGTAGTACTTCCCACTCCGTTCCAATTTTTGCATGTACAAGTGTACCTGATACATGCAAATAAGTTGAAGTAGGCACTGACATGTGCTGTCCTTAACTTCAGCCCCGATATTTATGTTTTGCCAATGACATTCCTCTGTAGGTGGATGAGGACTTGAAACCTTTGTAGCGGGACACCTCTTTGACCCTGACACGGCTCACCCACATCTCAGAAAGTTCAGATCAGCTAAATCACACTGGCTGAGAAAGTTCCATCAATCCCCATAATGGGCCCCAGAAAACATGCCGAGGAAACGTTTTTCTTTGCCGATGATGGCTCGCACCCTGAAGCGGCCACGTGCCTTCGTGCTTCTCCGATGCATGGCCTAAGCAGCGGGATAACCGGTTGAACATGTCAAAGAAATATAAAGATCATTTACCAGGTGAGATGCTTTTTGTTTATCTAGCACAGTTCCCATGGCCATGATGAGATTGTCTCGGATGGTTTTTTCTACTAAAAAATCTTTGGACATACTTGAGTTCAAATTAATACCAGCAGCTGAGAAAACAGTCCGGACTGAGATGATATTTTCAACTGCCCCGGGTTTCAACAATCGAGCTGTCTCGCGATGGGGTACCCTTTTCAAAGAGACATGTGGCGACCTGAGGATTTCCCCAGATCACCAGCGCTCTGCCATTGACAGCTACCAGGACTGGCTCCACAACGGGTGTTGGACGGTGAGTTCACAGTAGTCATAAGGGAACTAGAAAGTATGAAGCATACACATTGAAATGGGGCTACATATTACAAGTAGGATAAGAACAGTTTTATGTTGGAAACAAACGATAAGCACCACTAGTGTCCAAGTCTGTCCATGTCGGCGGAGACCAGTCCATGTTCCAAGATTGGGGTCAAATGACCACAGGAAAGGAGATGGGTCTCTCAATGGCCCTTGTGTCAGCAAACAGTTGAAGATAAGTTACGTTGGCAAAAAGATTGTTTGTATAGATGTTGGTACCTGTAGTTCTGTAAAACTAAAAGAAAGTTGGTGTCAAACTCTTAGCCCTAGCCAACTTCGAAGGCCTCACTCAAGCCCTGGAAGTGCCACCCTCAGCATGTGGATTCTGAGCCTAAACAAAATGCATCCCAGCGCAAGTCACTTCGAACTTGCTTCCCTGCAAAAAGCAGGCACCTCCACAATGCACAAGTAGCGCACCCCAGCAGGTATATATGGTGACCCACCCCGTGATTGAACTATGCCTCCGTGTTTTCATGGAGGATTTGGTGAAAGGCATTCCTGCCAGCTTGCTTCAAGATCTCAGCCCTTTCAGAGACAATTGGATTCGCAGAGATTCCGGTGGTGCTCTTGCGACTGCCCACTTCCGATGCGTAGAGCTTGTCCACAAACGTAGCCTTAGCAGAAGAAGAGCTCAGTTGGTAAACCCTCATCTATATAAATGATGCAATGCCTCGGAAAAAACTGTTCATCCCAAAACTGGATACTTCCGCAAGGCTCAAGACTCTTAACTCAACATGTGTTACAGATGAAAAGAAAATCAGAAGGAAACAGGTGCATACTAGAAACCAACAGTTCCGCCGATTTCATGGCAATTGCAAGTTTTGTGCAATACTCGCGGTCTTCACGGTCAGGGATGGTGAAGTAAGCAAAGTCTTTCTTTTCTTCACGACTGGTAATCCCAACGGCTGGACGAGTCCAGTACACATTGAAAGTGCACCGGTTGGAGTCACATGTGTTCAGGGTGTCTGCACGCACGTTTTTTTTGAACTCCTTGAGGTCAAACCCATCCTTTTTTTGGGCCCCCAAGAACTTGACAGAAAAGTCATACAACAACCCATGCATCTCTTCCATGACTTTTGTTTGCTGCGTCTCCCTGCCCTGCTCAATCACAACTGCTTCAGGTCGTGCTGCCGCACGTGCATTGACTCGGACTGCTTTGGGTGCTCTTTTGGGGTAAGCCTTTGCTTTCGGGGCTTTTTTGGTGCTTGCCGCTGCTTTTGCTGATGCCTTGGCCTTAGGGGCCGACTTTGCTGCTGCTGGCGCTGGTGGTGTCGACGATCCTGCTGATGCTGACCTTGCGCGACGTGCTGTTGTTTTTGGTGCTGCCGCTGCTTTGGGCTGTGGCTGGTTGTGCTCGCACTTCTTTGCTTTCTTTCTTGTGTGCTTGTCAGCCTTGGGCTCAGCATGTCCTGTGTCATCTACGGATGGCTGCTTCTTTTTGCGCTTCCCATTGCTTTCTGTCGGGGGCTTGCTGTCCTCAGCATTGTTATCAGCACCTACCTTGTACAGGCTATACTTTCCATCCCCCCATGCCGCTTTGTCCCACATTTCCCCTGAGTTGTTCCACCCTTCCCATGCGCTTTCATCATGCTCATCCCACCAATGCTGGTCCCATTCCTCAGCGTAATCCTCCCAAGTCCAACCTTCTTCGCTCTTCTTTTTCTTCCCTCCCTTTCTGCCCTTCCCATCAGCTAATGCCTTGCGCTTTGCTTGCTCCGGGATTGATGAGCTTGCTGCTGCAGGTTTCTTAGCTGCTGTCTTGCTAGTGGACTTTCCTCTGCCCCTTCCCCTGCCTTTGCCTTTGCCACGACGGCTGCGGCCATCCCCGTCAGGTTTTTTCCTCATGTTGAGCTGATCTTCCCGTGTAACAGGCACACGGTCTTGGTTCTCCTTTAGGGCAAGCAAAGACAGCAGAAATTGTGCCTCAAAAAAAAGGTTCATATCTTGGATATAGGCGCACGCATATGTGCATTCATGGCGAGATGCGTCAAATAGTCATTGCGTACGTAGCTATAATAATTTTGTAAAAAAACACTTGACACCATAACCAATCCCAAACCCAATATCCTCATCGCTTTCGCTAAAGTCGGTGACCTTGTCGTTTTCAAAGTTGCCTTTGTCAAACACATGTGCCTTTAAATTCGTCTTATCCTTCTCTTTGTAGCTGCCTGGCGTTTCCTCAACCGAAGACCCACCCTCACAGGCACCTGTGCCGTTGTCACCGGGTTTGACCGTCTTTCCTTGGAAAGCTGCGCGTCTTTCGACAGAAGAGATTGGGGGAGAAAAGGTCACTTCTGGTTCTTCAGGTGTGGGGATCTGTGTGATGTCCATGGGCAATGTATCTTGATTGTCCTGTGCAAAGGTTGCTTTCTCATCTTTTGCTCCTTCCAAAAATTGAATCAGAAATTGCGGGCTGAAAATTCATTTGCGAAATGCTCCAGTCACACCACCAAAACAAGAACAGCTGTTTGTTCTCCTGGTGCCAACGTGCTGCGCGACAAAGGGTGCGAAGTGCTAGCCGCGACATCAGGTGAAGTTGTATCTGCTGCCTTCTTCCTTCTGATCCTGAGAAAGACGGAGTGAACATATTTTATATAGATTCGTGTTTACTCTACCCAAGGATTCAACCAAGTAATATGGGGTCTTACTCCATAGACAACGCGTGCCTTGTACCATGTGGAGGGTAACATATATAGTGATGCTGATTTGTTTATATACCGAGAAACTCCTCAAGCTGCTTCAGCAAACGCTCTCGCTTTTCAAGCAGATCATCGCTCTTGGGCCCTTAGGGACCGGCTATATGTCTATACGACAAAATAGAGGACATGTCATCATAGCACCACAAGCAGCATTAATAACAGAACCTGGACATTACATATTTGGACAAGATACTCTCACAATCAGGTGTCTTCTTCGCCGGGGCTTTCGGGTGTGTTGGCTGGTCAGCTGCTGAACTTGTCTTGGGGGTGCTCGTTGGTGGCAAGTCTTTGGGGGTAGCATTCTCATGTTCCTCAGTTTCCACGCGTGTGTTTTCATCTCCTTTGCTTCCCTTACCCTCCGTGCCCTCTCCTGATTCCACCTCTTTGTCGCCTTCACCTTCGGAGTTGCTCTCACACTCTTCCCTATGCTCCCCTCCCTCTTCACCTTCATGCTCATCCTCATCTTCTTGGTTTTCCTCTTCCTGCGGCTCCTGACACTTTGTTTCGTGAAGCACAGTTAAACCTAACTTTAGTAACATTAAGACAAACCTCAAATGGAAAAGCAAGGTTCGAAACTAAAGATTGGTTTACATGCGAAGGGTGTCCTTGGCAGCGCGCTTGGCCTCTTCTCGTGCATTGATCTCATCGACCACGTCCTGCGCAAAGGCGATTGGAAAATAACCCATGGCATGTCCAAAAGTCCAAGCGTTTGGAAAAAATATATGTATACACATCAAAATCATATAGTCATATAATTTTGCCAGTTGATAGGATGGGTTGTTCGTGGGTGTGTTTTCTATCAACATAGGCTGAAGTTAACACAAAGTGTGATGGCTCCTGCAGCGACGGTTCAAGCAGAAGACACATAGATTGGAACTCTTGCACCTGGGAGAGAAAAAAGAAAAGTAAGTCTATGCAAAGGCTTTTAGAGCTAGTGGACTAACCTGTGACTTGACTAGAGCGCTTTGAAATCACAAGCTCAAGTTGGGCTTGGCCACCTAGAGATGTTTTCACAAACCGTTGGGTGCTCACCAAGTCTCTAAACAAAACAGCCGAGCCACCTTCGAAACTTCCTGCCTCCTGGCCTTCATCTTGACAAAGCCGAGCATAAAACGGACCCTCCAGGTAAGAGCCATATTATCATCAAAGTCCTCTGGCTTAGGCGGCCTCTTGTGTAGGGTCAGCAAACTCTCAACTGACGCGTGAAGGTCATGAATACCGGGAAGTTGTTTCTTCTCGGTCATGGACATGCGAACGAGGAGGGGGGTCAACAACTCTTTGTTCAAGACACATGTGGGAATGTCTTCCCCAGAACTGGACTTAGGATGAAGGAAGCTTCCCCCATCACGCAACCTCTCCCTGATGTCAGGGTCAGAATCCCATTCACTGGAAAGGGTTTCCAGGTCAAGGGCACTCTGTGACTTTGCCTTGGTTCTAGCCACCATGGCCTGAAAGCTAGCTAGGATTCCCTTTGGGTAAGCCAAAAGCGGCTAAGGGGAGAGAGCAGCGGATAAATCGTGTCACATTTTCAGTAGGTTGATTTTGATTGATTTCCCTCGACTCTTTGTTCCTTTGCCTTCCAAGAACCTGTTCCCACTGTGCCCATGCAGGACAAACTATTCTAAGATCCAAGCTGATGAGACAATGCCATTGCTGGCAAAACCATGCTCGCGCAGCGGGCTGGGCGTGATTGTGTGCTAAGATGTGTGTATACCAAAAGCGTCAAACACTCACTACGATTGGTACCATGATTCTGTCCACCAACTTCATTCCTATATATGTCATAGGTCATATAGTAATAAAATATATAATCGCTATAGCACCCTTAAAAATTGCATTAAGATGTGTTATTTTTTGTGTCCCTTCCTAATGATTGCTGATCCATGTTGCTCCACCATCCATGCTCTTGATCGAGCCATCAATTTCCAATCAAAAGTGGCTTTCCCAGGCCTGGGCAGGGGGAAATGGGAAAACCCGAGGTTTTCCATCCAAACCCGAAGAAAAGTTAGGGTTTGCATGAAAACCCGAGGTTTCTACTTAAACCCGAAGAAAAGTCAGGGTTTAGGTTTACTAGGTATACATGTATAATGTATTCCATTTGTATTTCATTTTTAGCAACTGGAGAAGTCAGCCCACACTGAAGGGTTGGCCTGGCTTCGGAGCCGGAAGGACGGATGTGTTTCTGCCGGCACCACTTGACCTGGCCGACTTTCCGGAAGTCCTCACTTCCCGATACTTGACAGGCAGATGCAGATGGCATGATGGCAAGATATGGCAGGAGTCAGGAGGAAGCCGCTTATGAAATTGCTACCCCAGATTCCGATGGTTTACCCATCTCCAAATCTCCATGCTGCAGAAGGTGATATTTTTTTCAATTCCTCTGTGATTTGAGAAGTGTCAGTTGCCCGTGATCTAGGAACAATTTACAGCTTTACGGATGTTGCTTTCCTGTCACGGCGAGATGTTGCCCAGAGCTTGTTGAAAGGAGTGATACATGGCCGCAGATTAGTGTCAGGCTGTGTCAGGGTTTCTTGGCAAAGTGGAAGAAAGGCTAGTTGTTGTAAGATGTTGTAAGTAAGCATATTACCCCATGCAGGAGTTTTTAAGGCACCCTTTCTCATCAAGACGGAAGTGTACATTCTTGCACTGCCTGTTTGCCTTCCAAGGACAAGAAAACTGGCCCAATATGCCGGTAACCAACGTTCGCTATTCCCTCTGAACCTTGAGCGATTGCTACGAAACGGATCCATGCCAGAACGAAAGGAGGGGAGTCAATGTGTTCAATGTGAAAGCGATTATTGGCTATGATGACATATGGCGACAGTATGTGAAAGGAACCATGTGGCCGTTGTCAGGTCCTGCTCTTTGAACTGATCCCTGATTGTGGTTAATTACCCTTGTTTTTTTCTGAGACATCCCACTCCTTCGTACGTCTTACATCTTTGTACTGATCATCGACTAGACTTGTTCTGGAGGGTCAGTGGTCCCTTGCGGCCTAGCACTGAGGGTGGGTAAATGGCTTTCGATTGCAGACCTTTCCAGACATTGGTGGCTTGGTGGGCAAAGTTGCAATCTGCGTTGGAGTCAACCTAGGCATCTAGACTCTGAGAATCCCTGAGATGACTGAGATGTAGAGGCAGAATCATAAAATGTAGTCCAAACATGTCCAAACAATTCCAAACATGTTTGCATCCTCTTTGGACCGGACTAGTGCACCAGTTAAAAACTGAAGGGATGTCACATGATGTCACCAACACATCATTTCAGGCTCATTGGCAGTACAGTATTTGGCAGTCCAACTGCATGCTCCCCAAGGTACTGCAGGACTTCCTGAGGCCATTGCCTCGGGACGCCCAGAACTTTGCGTTGCTTTGCTGCGTCGCCACCTGGCAGAGCTGCAGATGGGCTTCGAGCAGAACCTGACGAGAACCTTCTCGGGGCATTGGAGGCAGCGAAACACTCAGAAATCTCAGCAGACCGGAGGGATGGAGGCGGATCAAAGATGATCAAAGGAAAAATCAAGATATGTTCGAAGCATGTTCAATCAACTTGTGCAATAATTATCCAGGCTTCGAGTATCAGCAGAATTAAACAGCACTGGAATTGCACGATGTTGCATAGTATGTAGTAGCCTGCAAGGTTTACTTTTTGTGCAGCTTGCAGCTGTGTGGCTGTGCGCAGGTTTCGACCGGACACACCAGAGTATCAAGCCTGGTTGAGAGATGGGAAACTGGCCCCGGACTCGCAGATGTGTTCCGTGACGCGGTGGTTCTACCTGATCCACAGGATGATTGCCACTGGTTTCCTGTGTTGGACCTGACCTGTATAGGATTTCTGAACACTGATGTCATGGTTTGACTTTTAATTTGTGTACATTTGTACTTATTTGTGTATTTGCCCGTCATGACCATGTTGGATCTCCGATCGTTGTTGCACCGGAGGACTTTGCCCGAGGTGTTGCCACGACATTGGCCCGGTCAGGTTTCAGGGCTGCAAGAGTCCTGACCCGGAGGAAACACATGGAGACATTATGAAATATCACCCGTATCTTGAAATATCACTACCTAAAGAATCTCAATGATATCGAGACACCAAACCTTTGCACTGATCGGAGGGAATGAAGTCCGGCAGTTGCCAGCAACTGCCATCAGCCACCAGCAGCTGCCAGGGTACAGGCAAGATGGGCCTCTTCCCTGAACGCTTTGCCTGGCATTGCAACTGTGAGCCGCCCGGCTGTTGGCCTTTCGTTTGGGGAGCCTTGGCTGCCTTGGCTGCCACTCGGACCGGGTCACACCTCTGACGTACTGCAGACCAGTCCTCTCAAGAGGGATGTTGGTTTCTTTCATGACAATGATGGTCTCTAAGCTTTGATGCAATGGGAAAAATTGCAACTTTCAAGGAATTGTATGGATTTGTTAGATGGTTATATTAGATGATTTAGATGGACCAATCGTACAATGCAGTTGACATCAGATGAATGTGTGTATCTCACAGAATGACTTCCCTGTGCCAATGAATTTGGCAAATGCTGAAGACTGCAAGACCCAAGACTTGTTTCCTAGGCCTTCAATCAAGTGCTGATAGACTGAACATCACTGAACCTTGTGCCAGTTTGGATGGAATCAGGCATTAACGTTAAGGGATGCATGTTGATGTCGATGGGGTTTGGCCAGGAAATGTGCCTCCAGCACTAGTTCACGGGGTTGACTGGATTCAACACCCGGAGACTGGTTCTTGGTGCCTGGGCTCATCCAGATTCAATTATCTCTCCAATGGATAGATTCTTAAGATTCTCAAGAGCATTACAGGTGAGGTGTTCCTGAAAAATACCAACCGCTATTCAAGCGCGGCACTAGGACATGTTCTGTGGATTTGCCTGTTGAGAAAGGGATACCGTATGTCCTACGAGGTTAGACTGGAGGTGATTTATTCTTATTGGATGTTTCTGGTCTCCCACAGAAGCCATCTCCACAATCACGACGTGATAGGCTCTCCCTGCGCTCTGCTGGTGTCACAGACTCTTGGCATGCAAGCATAGGGCGAGGTCCTGCGAAAAGTGAGTGGAATAAAAGATTGGTGCACCATTCAAAGGGAAAACTGAATCTCTTAGGGGTACCCATTCCAGCTATGTCCATATCTTTTTTGAGGTTGTTCTTTGTTTCCCACCCCTTTCCTGGATTGAGTGTCATTTTCAAACATCAAGCATCACTACAGTATCATTGGACATCATTGAAGAAACCGCAACACCAGGAAACACTGCAAAAATGTTCGATGAGAACTGAGATGGCACCAAGGATGTAGATGTGCAATGATGTGGTTGCAACACCGCCAGCATTGCCTGACCTGTGCGTGACAGAAATGGATTGACACATATTGCCACAGGGTGAGGACAGGAAACATTTCATTTCATCCTCATTGCCATTGAAAATCATTGAAATCCTTGTAAATCCTTCGGAAAGCTGCACTACTGTGGCCATACTGTGGCCAAATGTGGCCGACCCCCTCCTCAAGCTGAGCTCAGCCTTGTCCAAGAGGATGACTCGTGCAGCGACTTGGGCCCGAAATATGCAGAGTGGATCAGTTGGAGAATGACGATGCAGACGTAGCGCTTGGTACAGGCAGAGGATCTTCATGCTGCAGAGGCTGGGTAGCTTCAGTGAAGCAAATGGAAGCAGCTTGTGAACTTAGCCTGCTCAGCACACAATGTTCAGCATTGTGTGCTGAGCAGGTTCAGTCAAGGGTTGATCCGAGGAATCTTCCGTGACTGAAGACCCTGCAGTGGCTCATGACAGGAAAAGATGGAGACACAGGGGGAGACAAGCTTTTCCTTGGAAAGATGTTCCAAAGATCATACAGATCTCAGCAGTCTCGCACGATGGGGTCGCTGCAACCGCGATCTTCAAGGACTGGGAGCGAAGAACATTGCAAGCATCCCCGTCATCAAGAGTATCGGCGTGGGTTTTCTGAAGAAGCTGGAAGCGGAAAAGGATGCTATACCATGCTGCGAGAAATATTGACGGTCAACCTGGTCTACTTAACCAAAAAAAATGGAACACGCCAATGCAGTCATGATACTACATGTCACTCAACCAAAGAAAATTGAAGAAGTGTCTACTGAAGATTCTGTTGAGAGTGCGGAACTGTTGCAACTTCTTTGAGACTTTGCTGGCCAGATCTAGCCAGTTCCTGCACTGAGCCTAGGTGCCCAGCGTCCAATGTCGCAACCGTCCCTTGCTTGCCAGATTGCACCTGCACTGGACACAGACGAGGACAGCAAAAGCAATGGCAACCATGCACTGTACTGCTGTATTAGATTATATTAGAGTTCATATAACATCATATAATCATACTGCACGTTTTGGAGCTGTTATATTGCAAGGTCCAGAGTACAGGTTGTACCCTTTTACAGCCCCTTTTCAATATTTTTCAGTATAAAACATGGCACGATCGCCCCCCTGTCCCCCGGAAGGATCTGCAAGCGCTCTACAATTGGGTGACCTGACCTGCGGGGCCTGGGATGGCCTGGGATGGCCTGGGATGGGGGAGATTCGGTTGAGCAAAAGAAAATAGCATCGACGTAGCTTGTTTTGTCATGTTATGATATTCCATGATATTCCAATATATTTCCAATATATTTCCATAACATGTTGTGTGCATCCGACCCAAGCTCTTTTTTACATCCACGATAGCAAAGGCAGTCTCAAAAAGTCTAAAATTAGGACCCCATCATTCTCTATTGGAGTTTTGGATGCCGCAGGATGCTGCAGGTGTCTTCCAAAATCCCTGCAGAAAATGGGCCCAGGTAGATGAGATTCCACTCTCCCGACCGAAGCGCAACATCTCCAGAGACTTCGCAGATGGCGTGGGAGATCTCAGCTCAAGATAGGAGGCACCCATATGCAAGCAATCTCATGAATAGTTGCAATAGTAGGTGTTTGGGCAATCCAATGGAAGGATTTGTAAAGTTCCATTTTGCCAAGATGTTTTGGTTGGAAGAATGGGATTCCAATCTGATGCAGCACATGAGTATCGTTTGAGAAGAGCACTGGAAAACTGGGGACACTTTTCTTCGCTGCATGAAGCTCAATTGGCAATTTGGAGAGTTACTACTACCCACAGGACCACCCCGGTGGATGAACAATTATGCACATTCGCTTGAACAATAACCAGGGTACCAGGGTCTTGGAACCATCTGACTCGCCACGACCGCATATCCACTGGGCCAAGGTTCTTTTTGCGGAAGTTGTGAATCACTTCTTTCCCAGGACAGCGTGCTATCATACGCTGGATGGGATATCAATTTGATGTTTGGCACAGTTGACAAGAATGACGGTGTGAGCTGATGACAAGATTGGACAAGTTCCAAACTTGGAATCTGAGTTTTTTCCGATGCATTCTGAAGCTAAGTTGGTCAATGTTTACACATGTTTACGCACTTGCGGGGACAGCAGCCACAGTTTGATACAGCGGTCGAACAGAAGGTCGATCTCCAGGGAAAGGTTCAATCACAGTCGAAGTTCGCAGCCATGACTTGAGAGTCTGCAGGCTAGTGGAGATGCACAACTACAGCTCAGCATCTTGGCTTTTCTGATGATGATAATGATATTAATGATGATAATGAGGATGATGACCATGATGACGACGACGATGATGATGATTGGAGTGCTGCGGAAGCGAAACATGTCCTGGCATATCCTGCCACACATTCAGGGATGTTTCAAGCTCTATAGTGCTATAGTTCCAAGAACCAAGGAGCTCAATTTTGATTGCAGAAACCGTTGGAGTCATTCTAGAGCTTTTCGTTGGACTTTGGTCCTGCCCGTGCTCCATTCCAAGGCCAATTCACACACGCAGAAGATGTGCCCCCAAGGGATCCCAAGGGTTTAAGCGCTTAGCCCACGTGCCACCTGTGCCAGGTACAATTGGAACACATTGAATCAGAAGGCAGGGCTCCAACCGCCAGGGATAGCGTGGCATCTGCTGGTGCCATGGCAGGTCCTCAAGAAACTGGGCTACCAGATTCATCAACAGGTGCGGTCAATGGAACTTTCATTTGCCACCACTGACAAAGACATACCATCATCCATCATCATTGTAAATGATATCTGATAATCTGATATTGATTGATATTGTATGATTTGACATGTCCATGATCCAAAGGACTTGTAGGCTCGACTTTAGCAGTGGAAACAAAATGGTGATTGTGGTTTGCTGTGGCTCAAATTGTATACACTTCCTATCACTTCCTTAGGGGATTTTCAACTATGGGGGTTGAAGCCAGGATGATGGTTCAATGTAGTTCATCTATGTTCATCTCCTGGTCAAACAAGCCTTTTCCAAGAGAGCTGCAAGCGTCGCAAGGATTTGGAAGATGTCATAAAAGCAGCACCTGGAGCAATCGAACGGGTGCCCACTGAAGCGAAGCAATAGGTTCAATAGGCCTACAGCGGTCCCAGAATCAAAGCACTTCAATACTGCCCCCAGTGAGCTAGTCTCAGGATTAGTGCAAAGACAGCACACTTGAATTCAGACGCTATGGATTTGTAGGGTAGTGTGTTGTTTTTCAGACCGTCTGAGCAAGTTTTGGTGAAACCAGACACTACTTGTAGCTACAACCTATAGCTGATTTCAGGTACTTGCGACGCTGCATTCCAAAGTGGACCTCGCTGCAAACCGACAATTGAAGGTGGCGGGGTGTCAACAATTGATCCATAGCGGTTTGTGAAACATGGAGGGTATATGTATATATATATATATATAATTATTATATATATATATATGTACTGGGTAATCATTATGTAATCATCATATATGAATTCCCATGAAAAATGGACAAATCAATGGCCATCACCTCTGCAGCCAGGTTGCTGTGCCCCGGGCCTCATCACAAGGTCCCACAGGCGGACCACTTTGCAATTGGGGATATGGTGACGAAGATACAGAATGATTGGCAATGTAGCATGTAAGCAGGAGAAATATGGCTAGGTTGACGTTCTTTCTAGTACTGTTTTTTTTTGTGTTGTGCAGTTTTGCAGAAGAAGACAAGTATGAATCAAGTTGCGATGAAGCCGTAGCTCGAACGATGCTCGCTACCGAGTTCCATGTATGGCCAATGCGCCCATTTTGCTAATAACTTCTTTGTGTCGCCCGTGAAGAATAGCCCAAGTCGTTCCCATGAATGCCGTCTAGGGATGTTTGCAGCATAGTCTAGATCATTTGTATTCTCCCGTTTTCGATCAAAATGCTTCCTGCCATGTTCCATCTCGTTGTGCAAAATTATGTCAGGGCGACCGCCGGCACCACCGGGTGTATCTCCCAGTGAGCGAAGCAGTGTGGCAGGGTCAGCACGTGGCCAGGAGCTCTTGAACTTGTGTGCCGTACATGTGGGGATGAGTCGAAACTCTGATGCCAGGTGAACCCCAAAATAGCCGATAAATGGATCTATAATGAGTATATATGTATATATATATGTATAATATATATATATATATATACAGTATATGCATAATATATATAATATATATAATATATATATAATATGTATATATACAATATATACTTGGATGTTCATTCCCCCAAAATATGGGATGCTGATCCCTCCCCATGTGACAATGTGTGGAAAGATGTTTCGGCATTTTCAGTCCTGAAATTGAAGTGTCCATGACAATCAACAGGAGCCTTGACAGTTGAGCACGAGTCCTAAAGGAGTCGTATCTAATGTGATAATTCTGTGTTTGCAGGAGGCTTCTCCCATGCCACCAAGAATGCAAAAGCCCGGCAACCAAGAAGCAAAGTTCAGATGTGCGATACATCTGCCATGTCACCACACAAGCAATTATTTGTTGCGGACTTGGCTATGCAGCACTGTTTTAAAGATTGTTGTAAGATTTGCAAGTATATTATATAACTATAGTATAGTCACTTCAGCGGTCCATCGGTCAACTTGACTCATGGGTTTGTTGCCCTGTTTCCTTGACCACCAAGTAGAATCTTGTCCAAAGTCTGACAATGCTCTGGCCAGACCTCTGAACAGAATCGTATTTCCAACGAGGAAAGCAGATGCAATTGTCCAACAATGGGGGTACACGGGTACACCGGTACTGTACAGGCAAAAATTGCTATCTCAATGAGGGAGCGTGATGATCATCCATTGGAATTTGGTGAAACATCCCAGTGGAACTGCTGACAATGCCTTAAGGCTCCGGCAAAGCCACTGACTGATATACTATGATATACTTGATTTTTGGTGCCCTTAGGGCAAAATCATTGCACATACCATGGTCTCACTCCATACCCAGGATGCAAATGGAAGTGGACACTGAACTTCTTTTGGAGAAGGCTGGGTCAGCCCTTCTTTTGCCCGCTGATGCTTGTACAATGTTGTACGGGCAATCGCTTCCACCTGGGTAAAGTGGAAAAAAAACCTGATGTTGGTTGGTGATTTGAGCTGTTAAGAATCCTGAGAGCACTGTGGGAGAATGAATGGCCAAACTCAACTGTCAGGATTCAAGATCCTCAAAATTCGGCTGTTTTGATCTTGTGACTTTATTCACTATGTTTGTTGCTTTTCCATGCTCACTCTTCCCATATTTATTCCCCCATCATTGTTCACTAAAGCATCACATTCACATGCTTCGAACGGCTTGATCCCCACCACCCGCTTGTGGCTTACCTATGCTTACCTGTTTGATGTCGGCCGTAGGAGCAAGCCATCGCTGAATTGCGCGAAATGGTCAGCCACTCAGGGCGGTCGCCGGTAAGAGCTCAACGAATTCTCGCTCCGTCGACCGCATGGCCATCATGGCCCTTTTAAGAACAGTATAGGTGAAGCATATCAACGCATCCTGATTTCAACATTCTACCAAGTACTGGAAAGAATGGAACAGTCCACCAACACATCAGCTATCATCAGCCTATTTTTGTTTCCACAGCTTCATGTCATACCTCAAGCAACAACAAAGTCTTGGGCACTGCACCAGGTTGGGATCATGACTGAAAAAATCAAGAAATTGGAGCAGCTGGTCCGAATCAAGGACTCGAAGATCGAGGTGGGGAGAATACAGTTACCGTCGTTACCGTCGTTACCGTATTGTTCACGGTTGAGCAGAGTAATTATCCCAGATGATCCCATAGTCCCTGGAAAAACAGAGCTTGGTGGGTCACCACACCATGCCCTAGGAGGCTGTGTCCAAACATGGAGTTTGAAAGACGTTGATGTCAAAGCGAAGCATTGAAACAAACAACGCCACATGAAGCTTTCACAAATGAAGGTGTCATGATGTGTCATGATGTGTCATGATGTTTGCGTCCATTTTACTATGTGGTATGGCTCGAGAAGGAGAGTATGACCACATGACACGGTGTGGAAATGGAGAAACTGTGCACAAGAGCACAAAATTGGAGTTCCACTGAGCGAGGTCCAACAATGCCCTAGACCACGTGCAGCGGGATTTACCACAATTGGATGGAAAAGAACACATGAACGAAACATTTCCATACAACTGTGCTAGATCCACATGTCCATCCAAGTTTGACCACATTTCCATGGTCAATTCTGTCAATTCTGTCCAACTATCCAGTTTTGGGCCACCTTTTAGGTTTCTCCCGCCTGAGCATCATACCTTTATGACATTATGACATCATATGACATCAGCTTAAGACCTGGAAACATCTGGAAACTGCAATTTTTGATCCTTTCCAGCACCCGATGGGAGGCCAGGGAAGCGGTTCAGTTCGATCTGGAACCTTGATTCCAATCAAAAAGGATGTCTGCACTTTATCACTGATGACAACTACTCCTGCAACATGCTGGATGTTTTCAGTATTCAGCCCAGAACCCTGGGATTTGTTGGCTAGCCTTCTGATCAAGTTTCAAGATGAATCAAGACTTTGTCAATCAGAAACCACGATATTTGTTGTGTGTTTAGTCTTGTCGGTTACTTGCTTTATCCTATTCTCAAGTCTTCAGAAGCTAAGATATAGTACACCAATATATTTTAGCAATTTTTTCAGGCCGTATGAAGGGATGGGACAGCCTCCAACCTGGCGCCAGCCCTTGACACTTTGGATGGTCTGGACACTTTGGATGGCCTGGATGGATTGGACGGTTGCGAGACCGTAGAGAAGGTCGGATTTCCTGACGTGAAATCCTCAACTGTCAGCGATGGGAGCAGTCGCCACCGGGGGGGCTATAGTATGCTATTGCATAAATAGATAACACTATCCTAGTACTATATTGCCAAGGGATTTGCACGGATTTACAACAGATTATATACCAATTCTTGCAAGAGGATGCAAGAGGTCTCTGCCAGAGGTCTCTGCCAGAGGTCTCTGCCAGAGGTCTCTGCCAGAGGTCTCTGCCAGGCTTTGGCCTTTTCTGATAGGAGGCAAAAACATTGGAACACGTTGCAGTTCTGTCATGCTTAAGAGGTTCAAGGTCCATTCCGTTGGAAGGAAGTGATCTATGCTTCAATAATATTGATCAGGCAGACTGCAGACTCGAATGAAAAGATGTAGAAATGGATGAAGGATGATGAAGGTTTCCACGGGTACTGTGCACACCTTCATATCAACTGCTTGCACCCGTCGTTCTTCTACACTCAGGCACCGGTGGCGGTAGCACCAGCACCGGCGGTGCCACCGACGGTGACACCATCGGTTCCCAATTCATTCTCGGGTGACTCCGGAGACTTTGACGATCTTCCTTGCTTTGAGGAGGGTGAATGGGCATGAACTCGACACAACGCTGCGGATGCGGACGCATTGGCACTGAAGCACTGGCACTAGTGCGTCTACTAACTCAACAACTCACACAATTACAAGGGTCCAGAATGGTCCAGAGTGCAGTGTTTAATTCCCTAGTGGAAGGGTCTGGACATGTCAGGACTAATATGGGCTTATCCGCTGAATTGGCTGAATTCCAATCAATATCACGAGAGATCCGCAAGAATTTATGCCTAACAAATTACGAGTAAGATATCAAGACTGAGATTCTTCCCCGGTCCCCAAATGGATCCAAATGGCCAGTATCTCCTATTTGGGGTCTGTAGGGCCGCCACCAGGACTTGACTCCCTTCGAAGTCGAGCACTTCGTCCAGGATTTAGAGGACAGTCCGTCCACTGCAGTGATGAGATGAGATATTGACCTGGGTTTTACACATCTTGACACTAATATAATATATCAATAATATATTGATAATATACCAATAATATATCAATAATTATCAATAATTACCATAAGAAAATCAATGTCTCTATGTGTGCATGGGTGTCTCCTAATCATCGAACATATCAATGTGGACTTCAAGCAGCCCATTTGCTTTGCATGTTCTTGCAACCAGGGTTGCGATCACAATGCAGGAGTTCAGACTGGAACAGGTGGGTGATCCGTGCCAACCCCAGAAATTAGAAGTTGGACAGCCAAACAACTACAGCAAGAAAAATGAAGTTGATCAGTTTGGCAGTCTTTGGTACAGTAAGATCGACGAAGGCGTCAATATGACAAATATGACAAGGGTTCGAAATTATATGTCCCCAAAATGATGAACAATGAATGGTTACATATTCAAAATATCTCGAAATGATCAAATGTGTGGGTCCATTGGTGACCCACCACATGGCTGATTCCGAGGCGATGGCTGACGCAGCATGAACGGGTGGAAAAATTGAATTGGACGGCGCACAACCAGGCATGGCCGCATGGCAATGCATGGCTGAAATCCGGATGGATCAGGTAGATGTTCTCAACACCTCCATGGGCGAAGCGGATCGAAGCGAAGCCTGCTTTAAACATCTTTAAACATCTTTGAACCGTTTTGATATTGAGCAACCTGGTATAACCTGGTAAGATCATGTAAGATCTACATTGCTCTGAACACAAGGTGTCACGACTCGACACATCACCAAATCCGTGCTGGATCTGCTAGGCGAAAGAGGGCTTGGATGAGTATGTCGTCGATCAGTTCAACACCCAAGAAAAGGCGCACTGGGGTGGAATGTGGTGGTATCTTCTTCTGCTGTGCCAAGCATTCCAAGCATTCCTCAAAGTGTCAAAGTCCAGATCTTGTGCACTTATAAAGATCGATTTGGCGAAGCTGCTTGCTACTAAATTTAAATTCAAAATCAAGGTTAAGTTATAGTTATCAGTAGCGAAAAACACTGCTCTGCTGAGGGCACCCTGGAGCAGACTGTCAGACTGCAAACCAGCCCTGTATGCTGTGCATAAACGCGCCAGTTGCCCACACTCATCTTTGATCTCATACTCATCGAGGCCATGAGCTCAGGGCCGACCCCATCGAGGTGGCAGTTTCACTTTTGTATACCGAGGCCTGGAAAGAGCGTATCTGGCCGCTGCTCAAGGCCGATTTTACCAGATGCACCTGGAACGGAGATGAACGGAGGCTTTTTGAATCCATTGAAGATTATGAATTATGACTAAGACAACAAAGAGCTGGTCAAGCCAACCTGATCTTTACATCCTCACTTTGCATATCCTGGTGCTAGTTTGGATGCAATTATATATTAAATATTGGGAGTTTCCTGAAACAACGGAGTCCCTTGCAGCTGAGTAATGCTGAGCGTAAATTGTCAGAAGGCCAAGATCGCAAAATTCAGCTCCCTTCGAACCTACATTCCGGTCTACCACGAGGTTGGGTACCGGGGAGGGAACTTCATATGGACATGCGAAAGGGATGATTGGAAGATATTGGAAGGATATGGAAGGATGCTGAAATCACGATTCTTGAACAATAAAACGTGTCCTCGCTCAAACTCGAACTCAAATGCCTGTTCAAATTCTTGTTGAAATCACGCTGTGCCCATTAGGAATCATCCAAATACCCTTCTGGAAATCAGCTACTCATGGCCTTCTGAAATGCTAATGAAAACTATTGAATGAAGGACTGATACCGTAGTCTCTCCTCGTTTGACCGCACTGGCAGAGGCCTCTGTTGCGAACCTGCTGGAGGTGTGCCTCTATCACCGGACAAGTTGCGAAGAGGCAGCAACTGCGTTGACCCATTTTCCCAAGGAGAGCCACAACTCTCTTGATAGAGATAGTCTGTGATTTTCCATCCTTATCCTGCTTTCGCAAACCACCATGTAATTTGTGTTCATTTCCATACACTTTCAGAACATAATTTTGCGCATATTTCTGCTACATACATACTGTATATGAACTACACACACAGGACACAGGCACACACTGCACATGCGACTCAAAATTTTCTTTTCTGGCTAGGTTTGATATGCATTCCGTAGTTCTGCCGGAGTTTGTTACAAGATGATGTGCAAGTAGTGAATGTCAAACGCCCGTCGCAAGGCAGGTGATGCTCTCATCGATCTTGTTGACTTTTGTGTGCGAAAGCTCAGGCAGGGACAGCAAGCGGTTGGAACAGCAAGCGGTTGGAAGGGTCAGAGATGGGTCGACAGGGGAGAACCATCTAGAAACCCAAGATCTTTTTAACATGTGCCGCCGTGCGGTTCTGATGTGGATTGATGCTAATCCCCCTGCCGCGGATACAGCGTGGAAGCGCTGCTGTGAAACACACCATCATTTGGCTTTTCAGCTCTACTACCAAGTTGGGTGTAAATGGCAGTTCTACTCTAAGTTGTGAAAGTCAATGGGTTTCAATGAAATGTGCGTCCTAGGTGGGGGATAATTTTTGGGAAGTCGGTGGGATGCTGCGTCCGGGTGGTGTTTATCATGTTTCTGTTTCTCCAATTGATGGTTTATCGCAAGTTTTTCATGGGTACCATGAAGTACCATGCAGATGGTTGTAGCTATTCTCTTGTGTTTTGGCATGTTTTGGCTGTTTCAGCTTTCCCCATTTTTCTCTATGTTTGTATATGTTTGCAAGAATCCTGTTGTCCTTAGACAGTTAGGCAGTACCACTGCCGTCTTCTCGTCCATCACCGCTGCCGTTGAGATATCTGGTGGCTACTCCTAATGATGAGCTGGTGAGACAAGTGGCCTCCGCGAAGGCGTGGGAAGTTGGCTAGGAGAATAGCACAGATTTTTTTCACAGTGCTAGAATGTGATAGATTTCTTCAATGACATGGGGATGGGTCAAAACCTAGTAATTATAATATATATATACATATTTATTTATTCATTTTTTTTTTATGTTATGGGTGAGACAGAATTATTACCATAATTGGTGGAATAACCATCTATTAACCAGCTGTTTTAGGGTACCTAGGGTACCAGGCCATAGCCATATATGATATGTGTCTTTCCTTTGGACCTCAAACACTATTCTTCTTGATTCGGACCGGGCGTCTTGTGAGGATACACGCAAAACAAACTCACGCATGTCATCCATGCCATTTGACCCAGCATTGTCACTGGCAGGAGTGCACAGAGTGGGACAATGTCAGGATGCTGGATGAACAATTCGTTGAAAGTGAATTCCAGGCTATCGCTGTTCAGAACCACTGCCACCACAGTCGCTGGGTAGGTACTGCAGGCACTGGCTGCAACATGTTGCAACATCATATGATTGCCATGTCGCTGCCATGTTGAATTCGAGATAGAATGGTAGTCTTGACATGTCTTGACTAGTCTTGACTTTCAGATACTTTCCAAATCTTTCCAAAGGATTGTACTAGTAGGTGCCTTCTCCAGAGCTTGCTGTGTCAAAGATTGCCTGGTCAGATTTGCATGTGCGTCATCTCCATCATTCGGTTCCTCACGGACCACCGGGTAGCGGTGCCATTGGCAGTGACCACAAGGATGCTAGAGACCCATGATGCCGGGCCCTTACCACTTCCTTCGACTTCCTTCTTTGATTTTTCGAAGCACTCGTGTCACTCCAGGACTGTAGTTGTTTTCACCGTTGCTCCAATTCGTGGTTCTGTATGAAAGAGGCTAATAAGACTTCGAATTGGCCATATCGCTTGAGGTTTGACGGACATGTATTGATTATATTAACCATGCACTCACAAAGGAATTCCTGAGCTGAAAATAGCTGAAGCATGCTGAGTCATGGGTGCGCTTCAATATGTTTCAATCACAATCCAGCTACGAGAGGGACTTTTCAGCAGCCTTTATCACTCAGATTCTCCTTCTGCTCGTTCCTCTCATGGAGAAGGCCGGGTCACCAACAGTCTGAGCCAGTCTGATCCAGTCTGGCAAGTTTGAGAACAGCATTTGCAGGCTCCCTGGGTGAGACGAAATCGTCACTGAGCCTGCATTTAACTTTAAAACAGCATTTACTCGCTGACAGCTAGGTGTGCTAATCCCAGTTATTGGATGTGGTGGAGCCATAATTTTGCAGCCGCCATCAGACGCCCATTTTTATCATGAAACCAGGCCTTTGACACCCCACCTTTGTGCCTTCCTCCTCACTACCCCCCTGGTGTTGATTGCCAGATCTTGAGGCATCAATGGACGCATTGAGAAGTTCGAAGAGCACAAGTGGCAAGTTGTCGAGGACAGCTTGTGCCCACACCATTGGACTTGGTGATGGGCAATCGCTTCTAATATATGTGTGTTCAAATGTTTTCATGGTTTTTCAATACACAGTCACACATCATTCCCACATCTTTGCAGAGGCTTCAACATCTTTCTGGACTCTACATATCCTTTCATTATATTTCATTGTGCAGTAGTGTCCTGGACCTTGGGTCATTGGTGAAACATCTCCATTGCCAGCAGGCTTGTTTGCTTCCGTCATGCATCCCTCAGAGTCCATTCGTGTGTCGAGGCAGATGATGAAGGGCGTTTGCCCAAGCTTCATTCTCAGGCCTGTCATGTCCTGGGTGCCACGGGAACCAGCAAGCACACTTAACATTAGAAATTACATTTACAATAGTTACAATGTCAATGATGCCTGCGAGCCACAGATCTCACGCTGTTCTCCCAAGCTGAAGCAAGAGTCAATGCACCCAATGCTTCTTTTCTATTCTTTTCTACTCAAACAAATCCATCTTTTTCTCAGTTCTAGATTCTACATTTAATTTGAGAATCTTGTATAGCGGAACGCCAACTGATGCAGTAGGAACGTTGAAGCTCCCTGCCAACGCCGTTGCTTCAGGTATGGCTATCCATCTATAACCTCGTCATGGACCCTGAGTGCTACTGGCCTGTTTTGCTGTCCATGAATTTTCGGAATCTAAGATGTATTGTTCCTTTTACCTTAAGAATCTTAAGAATATTGAACGCATCTATGCTCAACGTCCTATGAAGCAGTCTTTACTTGTAAGTGCACAATGATTCATCAAGATCAGGACACAAGAAGTTTCGCCGACCTGCCTGATTCATTTTCCATCATTTTCCCATCCAGTTCTGCAATGTTCATGCCTGCAAGGTGCCGAGCAAGATACGACCTGTCGTCCTTCCGAAGAGAGAACCTGCTGAGACTGCGGAGATATATCAATGAGGCTATTGTCATACTTCTCTTTTTATACTCTTTTCACTGTCTCTTTATTCTGGAGATGGTAGGAGGTTTGGCAGTTCAACTAAAAGATTTGAAGTTCTGATGGCTAACAAGTTGACAAGTGCCTGTGTTGGCCTGGAGGAGGTTTTAATCCGAAGTTGGAACAGTTGCGATTGAAACATCTGCCGTGGCTAAACATACTATCCCACTTTGTCGATTGCAAAGATACCCCATAGCCACCTTCGGCCCATCCAGATTTTGAGACCCTAAAGGGTCACAAACTGTCGTTTTTTGGGCAGCGTCTGGATATGTCGTGAGTTGTCTCAAAGTTTTGACTCATTCCACCTCTGAGATTTTCTTTCAAAGCAGACCATCTTGGAAATGATTTCATCTCACAGTTTGTCACAGTTTGAGATGTGCCTACGTATGTTTTCCAGATTTTCCAGTGAATTCCCCTTTCCTCAACCAACATAATCAACCTTCCAACTGTGTCAAACCGAACCACTCCGGGAGGTGGTGGTAGATCAGTTGCCGCCTTTGACGAATTTGCACAGGGCCCTGGAGGACTTCGGCAGTTCATGGACGGAATCTGTCCGATGGTCCGACATTGTCGTGACATGACCCTCTGGAGAAACAGATTACATCTGAGTCATCTGAGTATTACACATTTTGTCAAAGGAAGTTTAGTTATAGAAAACTTCCAAGTTACGGACGATTGTCATGATTAGCATTCCCCATCATCAAGTAGTTGGGAAGTGTAGCAGTTCAGAAGCGCGTGAATTCACAGGTGAAAACACAAACGGGCGCGACACCCTGTGCTTTTTCGGGTAATGTGGCTCGTGGGGGCGCCGAAGGAGGGTCTCTGTTTCTGCGGTTGTGGGGCTCGATCTGTCGACAAAAAGTGCACAGGACTGTCTTCAAAATGTCAAAAATTTAGGCGTTCGGATCATTTTTGGATACCTTTAGAAGCTGAGGCCGGAAAGAGCTCGAAAAAAAAAGGATCGCCATGTTCGGAGTGGCGCGGAGCTGTCCCCATTGTCAGCGCTGTGCGAAGGTTGGTCGACTTGGTGCGACGCTACTGCTACTGCTATGCGCGTTTGCAACTGGCTGTGACAAAACGCATTGACACGGCTGTGCGCAGCAAAGCATGAGTGAAGTGGGATTGTAGCTGGAGGTTGCCAAACGCATTGTAACAGCTGCGCGAAAGGTAGTTCTTGACTATATATATAGTGATACTCTTGTGCTATGCGGGATTGCAGCTGGGGACTGCTAAATGCATTGTAACAGCTGCGTGAAGAGAAGAATAATTGGGTGGCAGAAGCTTCAAAAGAGCTAGCTGGGAAGCAGCTCAGAGCAGAAGTAGTCCAGAAAAGTGGCTACTCAGAGAACAAGTAGCTGAAAGAAGAGGTGCCTCAGCGAAGAGATCGCTCAGTGAAGAAGCAGCTCAACAAAGAAAGTAGCTCGCCCATCCATCCGTTCATTCATCCATCAATCCATCCCTTCATTCAGTGGTCCATTGATATAGAATTGACTCATGGATTCACTAACTCATTGGCTCACTAGTTCATTGGTTCATTGACTCATTGATTTACTGAATTAGTGGTTCATTGGTTCCCTGATTCATTGGTTCATCGGTTCACTCATTCATTCAGTCATTGATTCATCGATGTATCGGCTCACTATTTCGCCCGTGCATTGGTTCATTGATTCACTGCATCACCGAATAACTGGGTCATTGATTCGCTGAATCATCCTTTCATAAATTGATTCATCGGTTCATTGCACTGCATCATTGCTGATTCATTGGTTCATCAACTCACTCCTTCAGTCATTCATTGGTGCGCTGCTTCACTGCATTGGCTCATCGGCTCACAAATCATTCATAAATTGATTCATTTGTTCATTGTTTCACTGAATCGTTGATTCATTGTCTTACTGATTCACCGAGTCATCGATTCATTGATTCACTGATTTATTCGCTCACTGGTTGGTTGATTCATTGAGTCATTGCTTCGCTGCTTCGTTGGTTCATTCATGAATTCCTTGGGTCATTGCTTTATTGGTTCATCGGTTCATTGGTACATTGATTCGTTCATTCAGTTGTGAAGGGATTCTTTCACATCATTTCATTGGCATCTCAACCAAATTTCTCCATTCGTTGATGCGCCGCGCAACTTCAACCGCTCATGGTTTCTGCATCTCAAAAACGATCTTATAGGCCATTGATTTCCTATAGCCATGTCCTATTTTCGAAACTTCCGCCCCGGCGCGTGCCAGGTAGTATCTGGTAATAATCAAATGGGAACCGATCGTAAACGTAAGCCTAAGAATTTTGAACGAACATGTATGTTTCAACATCTGTGATGGTAAAACCCTGCGTCGCGATGGATAGGCGATTGAAGCTGCCCCAGATACGTTCATTTTGATCAACACCCAAATGATTTAAATTCAATTGACTAATGACTAATGTAGATGATCCGTTTTTAGAGATGCGTCTGTAGGTAGAGGTCCAAGTGGAGCGGAAGATTGGCATCGTTCCAGTAGCGTTTGGCTGTATGTATCCGAGCGACACTGGTGCCATAGGAACTCTCCATCTCTGGGCAATTCACTGGCACTGCTGATATTGTCGAGACCTCAGGTATTATCTCTCATGGGTTTTAACATCATGTGAGTTGAATGATTTCCTGTGACTGTGCCCGGAGTTTTCTGATCATCATCCATGAACATCCATGAAGCTAGCATAACCACAACTATCCAAATGTTATCCAATCATGGGTGATTGGGCCCCCGAGGCACCATCACCTTTTGTGGTGGAGTTGGTCGCCGAGGACCCGACTTGACACATATTTGCTGTTGATGTTGAATTTGACATTTTCAACACAGGTCAGTGGTTCTCAACATTTCTCAGCATTTAGATGCATCTCGGCACTTTGTGCGTGTCGGATCGCTCTCGTTGTGGCGCGGTGCTGATTTTAGCAAATTTTCTTGGATCTTGGTAAAGAGATCTTATGAGTTCTCTGCAATGTCCTTCTAAGACGCTCTTGCAAGGGTTTCATGGTGCATCATATATGAAGGTCTTGACAAGGTCTTGTAGAGGTGCTTGTGAGAATTCTTGTGAAGACCCTGATGAAATCCTCTCAGAGGTCTTTGCATGATCTTGCACAGGTCTTTCTGAGAAGATCTTGTGAAGATCCTGCTGACATCTTCTCCTTGTGAGGTCCTCTCTAAGACGTTCTTGCATCATCTCGTACACATCCTTGTCAGAAGACCTGTTGCGAACCTGATAAGATCCTCCCAAAGAGGTCCTTGCATGAAGATCTTGCAGACGCCATGTATTAGAGGTGCTTGTATGAAAGCTCTTCTGGGATGCTCTTGGGAGGTTCTTGTCTCAAGATCTTGTAAGATCCTCTCCAGCAGCAGCAGGTCCTTTTATGACGATCTTGTGCGATTATCGTAGGGTCTTAGGGGTTGTGAGACGACCCTGTGGAGACCCTGCTGAAAATCTCCCCAAGAGGTCCTTGCATTAAGATCCTGAAGACTAAGATGTTATGCATTGGTGTCTGAATGTGTCTGAACGTTCTTCTGGGATGCTCATAGGAAGCTCTTGTACGAAGATCTTGTGAGATCTCTTTTGCACTTCTCTTCGATGGCCTGGTATGAGGTTTTGGTATGAGGTCTTGATGAATAGACATAATGTTTTTTTTACATAATGTTTTTTTAATGCCAAAACAAGGCAAGGTCATGCTGCTGCAATTGCGATAATGTCAAACCTTATCCGTTACTGTTCCATAGCTTCTACAGTTGTTTGTATCTATACTTCCTACCCCCCCACGCTGTTTGGGGTCAATTTGTTTTAAAAGATTCATACTAGAGTAGCAGCAAAATGAAATCAAACTATGACTTATCAGAAAAGAAATTCGAGGTCAAACATTCTAAAGTGAACCGAACAGCTCGCTCAAAAAAAACGCAATGCTTTCGGATTTGGAGCAGCCCTGAAGCTCTGAAACATTCGTGAAACAGGGAATCCAGAGTCATTGAGTCATGCAAAAACTTTGGGGGGCCTCAAGATCTTATCCAACTGTTGGGACATTGACAGCAGGCTCGGGAGACCATCCTCCGAACCTATGAGGCACGGTATTAGAAGAGCTATGAAGAGCTCCAACTGCTGTGGACCAGAATGCAGATGAGTTGAGTTGGAAGGAGCCTCGTGCTCCTGTTTGTGTAGCATGTTTGACATGTTTGTACTTCACATATTCCATTACAATCCATTGCCCATACAGTCCATACATGTTTTGTGATTGTTTGATTACTGATGGTTATAAGTCTCAGTGATGCGGTGGAACATACTTGGATGCCAATGTTCAAAGATGTTTAAAGTATTTGCACAGGAATTGCACTGGACAAGCACATATCCTACCCCTTTTCTTTGCAGGGTCAGTGGCAAGAAGTTGCTGACAAGCAGTGAAGCCCTGAGTCAACATATTTAGGCATGGGTCAACAGCTATAGGACCATCTTATTGGGCATGAACATGGTGAGCATCCATTGATATGCCAGCAAAATTAGCTTAAAACCCAGGTTACCCGTGTTTTGACCATTTGACCAATACCCATTTCATCGCATGGCCTGAGGCTTGAGACGGTCTTCACCAAAGAGACCCCAGACGAGCTAAAAAGGTTTATGGGATGGGGAGGTGAAGGGATTGTGGACTGGAGTGTTTTCCAAAAGATGAAGGAATAAATAGGAATATAAATATAATATGCTCAGTTTTAAGAAACTATTCAAAAGTAATTCTCAAAGTCACCGCAAGGTGCAGCCGAAACAATCCAAAACCATGCCTTGTTGGCTCCGTGTTCCTGTTCTGAATTGTTTTTCCAGGAGATGACCCTGGGTGTACCAGGTGTATGAAACCGTGAAAGGTTAAAGGTAGGTAGGTTGCAATATTCACCTGACAATAGCAAGATAGAGGTCCGTTGGTGCTGCAGCAAGTATGCATTTGTAGCAATGGCCAGAGTCACGACAGATGTTGTAGACAGCAGCAAGCAAGCTTGAACAGGCATGACTCCAAATCAAGATATGTATATAGAATGTAAAATAATGTAAATATGATACATCTAATTCGACAACGGTCACTTTGGGGCAAATTCCCGCAATTCTCTGGCAGCCTGACCGATCTTTCAGCACTTCAGGCTAAGCAGCATGATCTCCATTCCAAAGGAGTTCTTTGAAGAAGGCTCTTCGTTCGACGCCTGAGGGCCATGTCCAACGAGTCTCTACTTGTTGTGTCTTGATGCTGTTGTTCCTCGAGGAAGCATTTACTGCAAGGCCTTACAACAAGGTGTGAAAGACAAAGAAGGTATGGAAATACATCAAAATGATTGTCGAAAAGAAAGGCGCAGAGCCTTGGACCTGACAAAGTGGTGCATGATAGGGGCATGATAGGGGCATGATAGGTCCAGATCCCGCCGAGAACGGAGCAGGCGGGGCGGCACCGCAACAAATGTCATGTGCGGAACGACCTTTCAGAATTGCTGTTTGGAGCACACTAGCCATGTGCTACCTGCAAGGCCTGAAAGGCAATTGTTTGAGATGAATGTTTGGTTGAGAACATCATTAGATATCATTAGAACATCCATGTCATTTCACTTTAACATACTTTAACCATCGTCAACCATCCCATGCTAGCCATCTACTCAGTTGTACCTCGATTGCCAGGTGAAGCTGATGCCAATACCACGTCGGCAGAAGCAGCTGCTTGGGAGGCATGTTGTCATGTCCATAGAGGATCTAAAAATGTCGACGTGTTTCCCCATACCGGCCCCAAAGCTGTGAAACCCGTGAAAGACCCCAAGGAAGACATTGGAAGACCCCAAGGACTCTTCCTGTCTGCCTTGGATATATTTGGAATCATTTGGAGACTGAAAAAGTGTGGATGAGTGTGGTTTTTGGGTGGTTCCACAGGTTTCCAATATTTGGACCCCGAATCATGGCTGCCACCAGGCTGTAGCTGCACTGAATTTGGTGCGCTCAACTGCCTCCTTCTTTTCAGCTGCGCGCGCACAAGATGCACCAATCGATGAGGGTCTGGGGCTTAATGTTCTCGGCTTGCTTGGGATGTGACAAAACTAACAACTCTAAGTTCAAAATGATGATCAACCAATAGCCAATGTCAACCATGAAATTTTGGGATGTCGAATTCATGTCGCGACGAACGCCCGCACCACGTTGGGGGAAAGGCCTTAGAAGTTGAGGAGTATGCTGGGTATGTGGGCTGAACATGGGCCTACCTGGCCCAATCTAAGCAACTTGGCCGTTGGGTCCAACACGTACCCAACATGGGGAACTTGGCAAACCCAGCGAAATGCTGACAACACACGTTTTTAGAAAAATGATGGAGGTTCGCACTGGGAAATGTTCCCGGGGGTCTGGGTTTGGGCGGCAGGACCAAGTTGGGTCGTTGGGTTCCATCCGGGAATACAGTTGACTGCTCTCTCGGGGGAAGCTTAACGCAATGTTGCAAACTCCGATGCATTGAACCGTCTCCGCACAAGGGGACCATGCTCTGGCACCTTGTGTGACGGCGGGGGTTCGGACAGACTCACATAAAGAGCTTGTGGAGAAATGGAGTCCTGTTCCTGATTTGCAACATTGGTTGATTCGGCAACTGCATTGTGTTTTCAAGATACTCAAATCACCAGATGAGTTTGTCATAGCTCGACAGTCAGCAACTGCCGAGTCATCGTTCTATCAGCGCCTTCACAGCCAGCACCTACCTCAGTGGCTGGGGAAGCATGTTCGCCTCTCCACAAGATCCCAGCAGAGGGTTCCACAAAATAGGATCCGTGTTTTTACTCCTACCAACGATCCACATGGGTTTGACGGTATACCCCAAATCAATCCTTAATGCATCATCACTTTCCGTCAGCTTCCTATATTCTTAGCATGTTTTAGCTGTATGGGGTAAGCATCTGACACACCCAAGTCTCTACACGTTTTTGCAACGTTCACTGCCACCGCTCAGGCGCCTTCCTTCGGGGGGCGTTTGAAGTTGGAGTTGCACCGCTCACGGCAAGGCCTCACGCTTCTGTGGTTCTGGCCAAGAGTTTATGACAGCATTTAAACCTACCAATTTCATTCAATTTCATTTGTTCAAGTTCCTCCTAATAGTCATTCGATCATTTGCCATCATCTGGAATCATGTTTTAGATTTGCCAGCCCATAGCATCAGCTAGCTCTGTAATCACTTTGTTTCGTTGATCTTCATTGTTGTACCACGTGGAATCCACAAGGCAAATCGTAAATCACTATAAATCACTGGTATATGGTTTCAGCACTTGTCAGGCCAACTGGGTCGCAGTGGAAGGAGCCAGCCTGACTGTGGCGTTGTTTTGTTGTTTCTTTGCACCGATGGCAGACCGCTTTCCAGCGAGAGGATTCCAAAAGGGTATGAAATCTGTTGACAAGGTGTCATAGACCCAGATTGATAAATGTCAAAGAGGGGCAGAGCGGATAACCTGTATAATGTTAGAAATGTATTATAACATATATTATATATAAGTAATATATTGACATCAGCCCTAGAATGATCATTTCCGTCGCTATTCCATGGCTGTCCACAGCCAGGAGCGGGGTTGCGGCGACCGCTGCTTTGCTGGCCAAGCGTGCGGAGTCAACAGGGGAGGACTTCCTTTTGGCGATCGATGCTGAGGGTGTTCCTGCAGATAAGGCCGATCCGGATCTGGGGATGCCATAGGATGCCCCATGATATGAACTGATATAAGCTGGTTCTGAAATGGTGGTGATAAACATTGTTAAACATTGATGAACCATTGGAAATGGGAGTATCGGTGTGGGTACCAAATTGTACCAACATTTCGTGCTTTTTGCTGTGGCTGATCGCAAAACGTAGCTCCAGTGTGGCTACCTGACCTTGAGTTTTACTTTACGAAGTAAAGGGGAGGGTGGCCAGCCTTGTTGCCTGATTATTCAGGAGGTTGCTGTTCATTTTGGGACCCCCCTCACCCCCCCTTTCGCATGCAAAAAAGTACTTCTTGCAACATGATGAAAACTGGGTAAATAACAGTGGTTTTGCTAGGTGCTGTCCAAAAAATATTTTAAATACCGTGGTTTTTGCTACCAACCTTTTTGGCTTGCGACGAGGCACCAAAAACACCGATATTTACATTTACGGTGTATTTTGTCCCGAAGGCATTCAAAACTTGGGTTATAAACGCAGCCAAACTGACGCCTTTTAGGGCCCTGCGCGCATCACCATCATCATCAACAACAGTAATGACAGCAAGCATTTGAGTTTGTTTTTTTGTTTCATGTTTTTTTGAAGGGTGGTGTGGTGACGCATTTTACACAGATACGCTTCTACAAACAGACAACGTTACGCACAGAAGCCTTTGCACAGAGCGGCTTTTATGCGCACATGCTCTTACACAGAGAGGTTTGTGCACAGAGAAGCTTTTACACACAGAAGCCTTTACACACAGAAGCTTTCGCGCAAAGGAGTTTTTACACAGAAACTTTTACACACCGATGCTTTATGCAAAGATGCTTTTGCACAACGCAGCCTTTACGCACAGACGCCTTTACACAGACGCTTTCACACGCAGAAACTTTTACACGGAAACCTTTGCAAAGAACAACTTTTACACAAAGAAATTTTCCTCTCCCCCAAAAGTATTTGTTGATTCCCCACCTGCCAGGTGAGGGTTGTTAGATTTTATGTCAGTTGCCTCCTCCTCCTCCTCCTTCTCCTCCTCCTCCTTCTCCTCCTCCTTCTCCTCCTCCTCCTCTCCTCCTCCTCCTCGTCCTCCTCGTCGTCCTCGTCGTCCTCGTCGTCCTCGTCGTCCTTGCTCAACTGCGACCCGCGATCCACAGTGTTCTCTGCCGGACCTCAACCACGACCATCCACGCCCAGTGTTCCCTGCCATACCTCAACCACGACCATCCACGCCCAATGTTCCCTGCCGGACCTCAACCACGACCATCCTCGCCCAGTGTTCCCTGCCGGACCTCAACCACGACCATCCTCGCCCAGTGTTCCCTGCCGGACCTCAACCACGACCATCCACGCCCAGTGTTCCCTGCCGGACCTCATGTAGGAAGATATGGGACAAAGAATGCGCAGAAGAAAGTTAGAAAGAATGTCAGACAGAATGTCAGAAGATATGCCAGATAGAATGCCAAATAGAATGCCAGATAGAATGCCAGAAGATATGTCAGAATATATGCCAGAAGATATGCCAGATAGAATGCCAGAAGATTTGCCAGATAGAATGCCAGAAAATATGCCAGAAGATATGCCAGATAGATATGCCAGATAGAATGCCAAATAGAATGCCAGATAGGATGCCAGATAGAATGCCAGAAAATATGTCAGAATATATGCCAGAAGATATGTCAGATAGAATGCCAGAAGATATGTCAGAATATATGCCAGAAGATATGCCAGATAGAATGCCAGAAGATATGTCAGATAGAGTGCCAGAAGATATGCCAGATAGAATGCCAGAAGATTTGCCAGATAGAATGCCAGAAGATATGCCAGAAGATATGCCATATCATATGCCAGAAGATATGCCAGATAGAATGCCAAATAGAATGTCAGAAGATATGTCAGATAGAATGCCAGAAGATTTGCCAGTAAGAAAATGTATAAATGTCATGGTGGGGATCACACGAAGTAAAGTATTTTTTTTTTCGCTTCCTATCGTTTCCCTTCCAGATTATATAATGAATGCTAATGGATGACACTGGGATATCCAGGCATTTTTGATCATTTTTGCTTGTCTATTCCCTTTCAGCAATCTATAAATGGCATAGCGCCCATGCTCGACCCTCCTCTACAGACAGACGACGTTACGCACAAAAGCCTTTACACAGAGCAGTTTTTATCCGCGCGTGCGTTTACAGAGAGAGGTTTGTGCACAGAGAAGCTTTTACACACAGATGCCTTTACACACAGAGGCTTTTACGCAAAGAGGCTTTTACACGCAGAAGCGCGCTCTTCGGCCGAACCTGCACTGTTGCTGTTTGAACTCCTGTCAGCCTTTTTGTTTCCTCTTCCTGATCACCCACCTTTCGCGTTCCCCTTCCCAAGCATCTGTAGTGGGATTCCTGATCGGATGTATTGTGCATCCGGGCTTCATTGAAGACAAACAAATGTTTGGCTGGCCTCACGGGTATGGGTCCTGTTCGTTTTGCTGCTGGCATGCTCTCTTCTATTGTTGCAAGTTTATTGTCCCAGTTTTCTGTTGCAAATTGCCAAGATCATTTCAAGATTACGTATCGCTACAATTTTAGCGTTCCGGCGCATGCAAGAAGTTGAGCAGCCTTATTTCCGGGCGTCACTTGACAATTTCTCAAATGGTGTTTTCCATTCGTGCTGCAGCATCTCCACATTGGTTGAGGTGCAGACCATCCCTTATATCTCCCAGAAGGGTGCTGCCAGGACTTGTGTTGATATCTTGGGCCTACCTTAGCACCAATTTCTCCATGAGCATCGTGACATCTGAAAAAGTGCCCAAGGAATCTTAATCTTGAGAGCCATATAGTGCTTTCTTCCACAGAGGCAGTCCCACCAATGTCCGCAGGTTGGCGATTTATTTTGCTATACTTGCACCATCTTACACCTACATAGCAGATTTGCATCGATTGGTCATGAAGGACGGCAGAGCAGCTGAGAAACTTGCTGCTGAAACCAGGCTTTTGTTTGGGGATTTACTGAACGGTGATTTCTTGTTGCGATCCATGACATGTTGGGAGGGTATGCCATAGGTGAGAAGTCGGATGGATAAAGTAAGATCGAGTAGGTACAATTGTAAATAGTAACTCGACACTGCAGCGGTGCCAATTTAACATGAATTTGGTCTCTCTAGTGTGACACTCTATTTGTTTGTCTATTTTTTCTAGCTGTTTCTTTGTCTGTCTATCCATCTAACTATCTATCAATCTATCTATCCATCTATATCTACTAAACCTATCTATCATTATCTATCATTATCTATCAGCATCTATCATTATCCATCATGATCTATCGTTATCTATCATTATCTCTCTATCTGTCTATCTTTCTATCCATCCATCTAGGTATATCTACTAAGCCTATTTGTCTATCTATCTGTCTACCTACCTTGCTATCTATCTACCTATCTATCTATCCATCTATCTATCTGTCCATCTACCTATTTATCTATACATATATATATATATATATCTCTCTCTCTAATTCTCTCTATGTCTATCTATCTATCTATCTACCTACCTACCTACCTACCTACATATCTATCTATCTATCTATCTGCCTACCTATCTATCTGTCTATCTATCTATCCATCCATCCATCTTTATCTATCAACCTATTTGTCTGTCTGTCTGTCTGTCTGTCTATCTATCTATCTATCTATCCATCTATCCATCTATCCATCTATCCATCTATCCATCGATCCATCGATCCATCGATCCATCGATCCATCGATCCATCGATCCATCTATCCATCTATCCACCCATCATCACCCATCCATCTATCCATCTATCCATCTATCTAGTGTATATCCGTCCAACTATCTATATCTATCTATGAATAGTATTGACGATATGATGACATATGATGACAATATTTATACAACTATAGCATATGAATGTATAATAAAGTGTGTATATATATATACGTGTATGTATATATATTATATATATATTACATACATATTGCATTCCCAACTCCTGGCAGGCCGCGAGAGCCTCCTGGAAATGTACTCTGATGACATTGCAGAGCTGCTTGGCTTCGTCAGAGGAACAATGATGGAATTTCCACGGAATTTTGAGGTTCCAATTTCTGGACAAAATCATTGTGCCTCCAAATTAAATGGTTTAATATTGGGATGACCAGATTTGTGGTCCCTTGGTACCCGATTTTGACCTGGGCAACAGCTGGAAATTATATATGCAGAAGAATGCTTTGTGCATTCTGGTTCCGCAAGGGTTTGGTGTTATTGTGTTTGATTGACACGCTGGAAATGGCAAGTGAAACACAAGTTTTATGCTGTTTAATCCCAACAGATGCGAACTTCCTGAAAAGTATGCCATGTTTCAGGTTTTCTGTGCCTGTGGGTGGTAGCGAAGAGGAGGCGTTGGATAGCCAGCGTTGGGGACATGACATGTTGAGAGACTCTTTCAGGAACTGGTGTCACTTTGGTCCACAGTTCCATACAGTTCCACACAGTTCCACACAGTTCCACATCCCCACGCGGAGGTGCTCGAGCCTCGTTACCTGCGATGGCTCCTTCCAAAATCCTGAGCCATGGCCATGGGATCGAAATCACCCGTTGGCTGTGGATCAATCGTGGATCCTGTTGCTTTCTGCTTGCTTATTGTGTGAAAAGTTATGGTGATTGATGATTGATGATTAATTATTGGTGATTGATGGTGATTGATGGTTGTTGTGTGGAAAAATGTGTGGCTTGTTGGACTGCCCGCAAACCTGTCGTGGCAGGATTTGACATATAGTTTGCATGCGCAGTGATGTTCACATTATACGACGGTACAGACATTTGCATATATATGCATCGTGCTTGACGTTGTGGATTTTTTGGATGTAAATCATGTGCGAAGCAGGGTTGAGTGTGACGGACAAAAAGAGACGTCATACAGAGACGGTGATGCAAATGCAATGCACGAGAGTTTTAGGTCTGAATTTCTGTTTGCATGCTGATCTCGCTCCTAAAAAGGCAGTTGGACGGCTTGCATCGCCAAGTTTGCTACTAACCATCGGCATCCATCGGCCATAGACTATATCTCTAAGATATTGTTTGACCGCTAGAATCTGGCCTTGGAATGCCTTGGGAAAATGCAATCCTTTCGCCATGTGGATACTGAGACTTTACCAGGAAGAGCATAGGTGACATGCACAGAAGGTGGACAACTCTAAAGGTAGAGTGTAGGCATCTTGGGGAAGCTGAACATGCTGAATGTTTGGAGGCGTTGACACAGAAGCTCCAGAAGCACGGTTTGGCCTAAGTTTGGACCCCAAGACATCGTTCAAAGGATCGACATGATCGACCATGGGCTGAAAATGCCCATGGCTTTGTCCGAAGAAAGTGGTTTTTGTGCAGTCAAGATGTATTTTCTGGCCATGCTACAAGGGCATGTTGTGGGATATCATCGGAAATGATGCCACGTGCTACAAGCAAAACTTTTGAATATATGCTGTAGACATCCAAAACAATCCAAAAAGTGATTCATTTCGCACAGATGAGGACAGAATTCAGAGCGCGCCCCCTAAAAGCGAGGTTCCAACCTCGCCGCTGCGTGGCCAATGAAGTGGACAACCTGCGACAGTGGGAAAGTGAAAAAAATATGTGGCAGAATGAGTGGCTGAGTTTCTTTTTCATTTGCATAATCAACAAGATCATACAAGAGCAACATGTCGTGCTTTCTCTTACAGGTACCTTTGGTGATGCACTTGGGCAACTTACAGTATGCGTTTCTTTTACGTACCGTTCAAAATCCGTTTAATACTGTTTGATACTGTTTGATAGTAGAGCCTTGACTTGAGCATGCAGAAAGTGTCTCTTCTCCTGCTCACAGTTTTTCCTGGCTTGAGTCAACTATTTTGACAAACCAGCACAGCCGCCTGCAGTGTTACATCGCATTCCAATGAAGCGGTTGAAAGCGATGGCCGATTCCTGGTGCTTGTTTGATTGACAAGATTCGCACCAAGGCAACCTCCATCCATTGTGTTCATATTCACCTGCAGCTTGCACTATCAATACAGATGAATTGTATTGAATTGTGCCAAACCTTTCCACAACTTGATGAGACATCAGAATATTATCCCCGTAACACTCTAGATACGTGCACGGTTTTGTCTTTGAATGACGTCAAAGTCTTGTAGTTGTTTGCAGGGACGGGTCTGCGCTCAGCCCCTGGATTCATCTCATGCCGCAGGTAGCCACGAATGTCTCATCCTTGTGCTGGAAGCTCTTCCAGGCAGTGGCCTAGAACTAAGATGCAGAATAGAAGAGAGTAAGAATGGGTGGCCTCATGACTTCTTTATTTTTTTTCTGTTTTGATTGTTTTCAAGTCTGGCTTCTTGGCTTATGTATGTGTTTGTGCCTTTTGTGCCTTTATGTGGCTTTTGGACTTTTTGCCTTTGTGATTTCTTGGCGGTATGTTGCACACTGTTGTTCCATGTTGTTCCTACAACGAGTAAAACGTCAATTGGCAAGAATAAAGGAACAACAACCATGTTATATAAGAAGGACAACATCCAATAGTAGAATTCAAAGGAGCACTTGGATCACAGAGGGATCCATTGCATGAGTATCTAGACACGGATGGTAACGGCTAGGATGTAATGATGAGTCTGTGATTTCGAAATTGTGGTCAGCCCAGCATGTTACTGTATGGGTCAACCGGGGTCAACAATTCACTTGACCTCTAGGGAGCTTGGGACCATGGTACATGGAACTCCATTACCCTCGACAAGCATCGCATGGTTGGACAGATGTTCAAAAGCCACTCATAACCACCCCCATGCTGAGTCTTTTTGGTTTCTTGTTCGAATCATCTCAAAGCAATGGAAGGCAAGTGTTGCTTTGAGCATACAGTATACATATGAAATGGCTGGTCTCCGCAAGCTGTTTCTTCAGAATTTCAGACTTTCAGAATGAATGCACGGCTTGCAAGAAAATTGAAAGTCCACAATGAATCGATATGAACAGTTTGATGGGTCAGAATGGAAGAACTGACAAAGACAATGACAGTAAGATACATTATAATTATAATAATATCTTATATAACTATCACATACTATCACCGTCATGCTTCGTTCTTTGTGACATCCTAGGACCATTCGGAAACACCCATGGAACTCATTGAACGCACAGGCATCACCAAAATCAACAGACTGATGTCTAGCGGGTCTAGCAGGTCTAGCGGGTCTAGCGAGTCTAGCGGGTCTAGCGGGTCTAGCGGTTGCCGTTTCTTTGCTCTGTGAAGGTCTTTGACTTTCTATGAACATTGGCTGGAAGCATCCTGACGCATGGTTGCGGTGTGTTTTCTACGCTTTGTAGAGATCAAAGCGATGTACGTCTGACATTGAGTCAATGAAGCAAGGAGGGCTCGAGTCCGCCCTTCATCGAGTCCTCAATGCTGATCAGCACGGACAAGTTGTCCATGATGTGAAAGGAAAGATCCTTTGTGGTGAAGTACTGAAGTATACTGCAGTAGTACTACTGCTGTTCATGCCAAGCGTGGTGGTCACCACAGCAGAACTGCCACAATACAACTGCACCACAACAATCTTGTGCCAAGCAACGCGTCTCATTGAAGTACGACACGGTCACAAGACGGCCTGAAGTTCCGATGGGTCGAAACCCAACCCACATACACTTTGTGACTTTGTGCTTGAGAGGCTCCAAGAGGCTCCAAGAGGCAATGGAGAAACCGCAGGATCTGATATGATCTGATCCTGCTGAACTCATCGGATGCTGGTTTTTAGTTGCATTGGAGCATCCCAATGGCTGTGCTCTGGCTGTTCCATATCAACAGACGCCGCAGGATCCTATGGGATCCTATGGGCTCAACCGGATCAAGTCATATGATGTCCAACTGATGTCCAAGTGACGTCACCTGTCATTGATGCGTCCCTAGGTTCCATGCAATTCCTCAAAAGAGAACTTTGTCTGCATGAGAGCAAGGAGAAGATAGGATAAGGAAGACAATACAACATATCATAAAATATCCCAAACCGGGAGGCTGCGGCAATGTGCTGAGCAGAATGCTCAAAGACATCGGTGAAAGAACGTTGCAACGAACCGACTGACAGAACGGCATGCCTTCCGTTTACCTTCTTTGGATATGTGCAAAGATCAATGATGATATTGACATATTGTTGAAAAAAATTGAACGCCATCTGCACTCCAATCAAGCTTCACATGTCGCTGTGCAATCTGTGAGTTCCAGGACTAGTGCACTGTGGGTGAGCTCACTGAGTGGGCTCGAAGAGAGAAGCTGGGCCCAAGGGGTGCGGCCGGCACGGAAGATCTCGTCAAGCAGGGCGCAGCGCGCCGTGTTTCACGAGCTCCTCAATGTCGGCTGCAAGTTGCCATAAGTCGCCCGGCATGAGCAAGAATACTGCATCCGTCAGATTTTGCGCCAGAAACATCATCATCTTGCGGTATCAGTGGAGCGAGATCGACGAGATCATCGATCTCGACACATGGGCACTTGGTCCCAGGCCTCTTCTTGAACATGTTCTGCTCGTTTTCTGCTCCACGACAAGGCCACCCCGACCTCGAGCAGAGACAATTCAGAAAAGGTCTGAAATATGTCCATGCAGTCCATGCAGAACCCTTCGTGTGAGAGGTCTGGTCCTTGAATATGCGGCGCAACCAAATATGGTGAACTACAAGAAACATCAGAAACTTGAACTTTTGCATCGAGACAAAATTGCGTGACTCCATGACGTCGGTCGCCTTTGACGACGCACGATTTCAATCACATGATTATGCAATACTATGCAATGACATGGTGGTTCATGGAATTACAGGCCTTGACTTTGCTTCTCACACTGAGAGTCCGCGCCCATGCCAGGTTTAGTGGAAGGCATTGGAGCAGTGGAGCAGTGGCCTCGGTTGGGATCGTTTCTGCGCCTTGGCCTTGCTTGGGATATCTTGGCATCTACAGTCGGATGACTTTCCCAAGCGGAAGATGGGCCACTGGGAAGTGATAGAAATGTTGAAAGATGTTGGAAGTATAGAGATAAGCAAGCCGACACGTGCAATCAGACCATGGAGTTATGCGAATGAATATTCGTTGTGACTCAATGACTTCCCGGTCTTGTAATTGTTTGCAGGGATGGGTCAGCTCAGCCCCTGGATTCATCTCATGCCGCAGGTGGTAAAGAATCTTCAGCGCTTGTTCTGGAACTGCGTCCAGGCAGTGGCCCAGAACAACGATGCTGAATAGCAGCAAATGAGGTGAAATAAAGATAAACAAAGAGTAAGAGTGGGTGGGTTGTTCATGACATCTTTATACCGGTGTTCACAGTGTTCTAGTTGTACATGGTCGCGGTGTGTTATTTCGGGGTGGCAAATATTTGAACCTCGGGCAATATTGAGTTCATGTCCAGGAGTTGAAGCGTCCTAAGCCGACGTGACTTCTTGAGACAGCATAGTTTGACATGACTTTGGTTCCATGATGTTCAGCGGCTAGGGTGATGAGTCCAAAACAAATGAGTCAGCGGGTCAACAACTAAATAGGTCCATTGAACAGAGTCGTGACAAGGTTTTATTTAGTGTGTTCTATGTGTTTTCCCATGCAATATAGTGAGACATCAAAAAATGCTGTCTTGCAAGAGTCTTTTTGTTCGTTCATGTTCACGTCTGTTGCCCGTCCTGGGGGAGATGTGGGGAGTGGATCAGGATGCACATTTGGCGGAGCACAAGATTCAGCTGGCTGGGCACTCAATATTGCCCAGCTGCCCCAGCTTCAGCCTGTTCCTTGTTTTTTTCATCAAAGTGAAGTTGAGATCAATGCACCTCGGTGACATGCGAGGGCGCCTTATTGGCTCAAGTTTCCCATGACTGACGCTGAAGTCTCAACGATTCCCAAAGCCACAGCACCTCCGCCTCCCTCTGGTGTTACTGTCTTCAAGGCTGGAGACTGAGCACCGCATTGTCATTACGAATGGTGGGTGATTTATATAAACTGATTTAAACTGATTCTATGGTACTTTAAATGAATTTAATGTATTTCATCTATTTTTTCGATGTTTATTCGAACAATGCGGGGACTCAATGAATCTATGCCCCCTTCTGATCTTGTGGTCGAAAACCGGAGAACTTTCTCTGTCAGTCAAAGCAACGCAGGTGGCATGGAAGAAGAACATCTTCCTTGGCCTGAAGCGCGGCCGGTTTTTTAGTGGCCCTTTCAATGCACTCCTTCAGATGGGAATTACGGTGCTTTGTTTGCATGATCACGATTGTTAGGTCCAGAAGAATTCACAATGCTGTCAGATGTCAAGTTGTGTCAAATTTGTGGAGTAACCTCTCTTCGATGTCATGCAATGTGCTTCCATGTGCTCATCATTGTTGAGCATTGTCACAAATGCTTTGAGAAAGCAAAGATGCGAGGTGATGCTCTACCATATTTTCCAGAATGTTGCTGATAGCGCCGGCTCGAAGAGTGTTGGGCGTTGGCTCATGGCATCCTTCCTCCCTCTGAACACTCTTCTTGGCATCACCTTTGGAATGAATGGGGCCATGATTGATATTATTGGCGAGAAGGACAAGAAGATGAAGATCATCCAAAACATCTACGGAATGTCGGAAACCATGTATTGGACGACTTGGTTTACGTTCTATGGGTTGATTGCTGTCATTTGTATGTGCATCATCTACATTTGTTGGTTAGCCATTGTTCCCATCCTTACTACCGTCAACTTCGGAATATCCTTCATTATTCTCGTTTGCGCCTATGTTCAAACGCTGCTGATGGTGGCTCAGCTCAGCACTGGCTGAACCATGGGGAAAGCCCAAAACAGTTACAAGCTGATATTAAAATGGAAGATCCCTAGTTGAATCAAACAGGAGTTGATTAATCTTGGGCTGACATCTCTAGAATGACTAGTACAAGTATGAATTGCATAATATGTTTATTGATTCTTGATCTACCTTTGACAGTTTGTATTTGGTACTCGTGCTTCTCTGGGAGAGTTGACATTCGACAATTTGTATATATATAATATATATATTATAGATTTATATAGAGGTCAAAAATTGATGCCCCCAAGCCTGGTTCTTAGTTATTGATAGTTTTTGTATGGCAAATCATCCAAGTATTGGGTGCCCAACTTTGGCCCAACCCATTTGGTCCCGGTGTTTCTGCATGAGCGAAGTGTTGCAAGGTCTTCTGCACAAGCCTATTTATGGAGAAGCCTCGGACTGCAGATGCGCTCACCAGCGTACTGTCCATACTTTTGTTGTCCCTGTCTGCCGCTTCTCAGATGCTTGGCTTATGAGCACGCATACCATCCACATATTCAAAGATCTGGTAAAAGTATGAATAAAATACGAATTTCCTGCAGAGTTTTTTGACATGTTTTATCATGTTTTATCAGCTGTCAACCGTGGGCTCTTTCTGCCATGGCCATGGCTAGGTTCCTTCTGCGAGATCATTACTGGCTGGGCTACGTCGCCGGTTGCCTGCCATTGATGAATTGCTTCCAAGCTTTATCTTCAATGCTTTACCTCGGTGCGGCGGTCGAATGCAACAACGGTTCCTGCAGAGACATCGGAGCACCCTGGTGCAGCTGGGTGGTCATTAAGGGTATAGAACGACCATAGTAGCAGCCCAGATAAATTGTAACCTGCACAATTATGGCATACATATACGCACTTATGAAGCGGAACTGCACCCAAGTATAATTTTCCATGGATGTCATGGATGAGATTGACCACTCTAGGAGCCATAGTCTACCCAGATTGATGAACCTCTACAATCCTCTAAATTGTCGGACTCAGTGGCCTCTCAACGTTCCCCACCATCCAACAGCTGTTGGGTATGAGGCCAACTTCGATACTCTACACTTGACGGAGTTTTGCATGGTCGAGTACGACCCTATCCACTTTCCCTGCATTGAGGAGGCACATGCAAAGATCTTTCCACTGAGCACAGCCTTGATGTTCCTGGTGGTGGATACGCTGTTCCTTGCTTTTCTTTTGTGGTGGTTGAGCCAAGCATGGCAGGGCAAATATGGCAAAGCAAAGCCGTGGTGCTTTTGCTTAATGCCAAAGTATATGTGCAGCAAAGGCCCTCGTCGTTACTCCAACATTGTTACACCAGGTACCTCAGAAAGTGAGCCAGTCCTTTCCATTCAACACCTTCGAAAAGTGTTTCGAGATGGCAAGGTTGCCGTGGATGACCTTTCCTTGGAGGTCTTCCCAGGCGAAATTTTTGCCTTGCTCGGGCACAACGGTGCTGGCAAGACCACTGCTTTGAATTGTGCTGTTGGTCTGACTTCGGCAACATCTGGGGATCTGATTATCAATGGCTACAACGTGGAGACAGATTTGGAGCTTGCAAGGCAGCAAATGTCTGTGTGCCCGCAGGACAATCCTCTATTTGAAGAGTTTACCGTGAAGCAGCATTTGGCCTACTTCAGCCCCTGGGACTTTGTCATGCTAGTGTCCTTTTAAAGGAGGCATCGTGAGAAATCACCACCAGTACATAGCAACACAATACAAGATGACAATGACCCTGAATGATTCATCACAATTCAACACATTGGTTTGGAACACATGGTGCAAAGAGATCAGCCTGAAGCTTTGAAAGATTGGAACAATGCATCGCAAGCAAAGCCTATTTCTTATCTAAGGTACACTTCGTGGAGTTCTGCCCCAGGTAGTGGATCAACGTGCTGACGCAATCTTGAGCTCGCTTGGCCTGGGAGTCTCTTGGCAGACTGATTGAACCTCCAAACAGTGTTTAAAAATCTTGAAAAGATGATGCCTGAAGCAGGTCACGATGTTCTGCTGAAGTTTCCGCTGTGCCGCTGTGCCTGCTAAGGATCGAGCCAATCACCCAAGTGGCAAGTTATCCGGCGGTCAGAAGCGACGGTTGTGGGTTGCTACAGCTTTGATCCTTGGCTTTCATGGACGCTCTTGCCTTCTGCGCAATGCACATCTACAAAATCACGAAAGTTTGGTGACAAGTTGTGTCAGATATTGTCAGATCGTGCGAATCGTGCCTGTGCCAAAATATGCCAAAATCTCCAAGGATTGGCGACTCACCAGTTGCTTTCTTAGATGAACCCACCAGTGGAATGGACCCATCTTCCCGGCGCGAGCTTTGGGCTTTGCTTCTGAAAATCCGTGACACCGGCATCTCAGCTGATCATGGCTGCTCTACGGCTGCATGGTTCAAAAGACCTACTCAGACATGAATTAGATATTAGGATATATATATATATAGTTAATGTGTATATATATATATAACATATATATATATATATAACATATATATATATTAGGGATTGTTGAATAACCAAATGTGAGATGACGTTTGAAGTTCGAATATGTATGACAAGTATCAATTATGACAATTATATTCAATTATATAATATATATATATTATATGTTTGATGTTGTTTGAGCACTTAGTTCTTTCATGTTCCCAGAACCGTCCCAGGCCACAGCATCATTTTTACCACCCACTACTTGGAAGAGGCTGACATCCTGGCGAATCGTAAGGCGGTTTTAGCCCGTGGACGTGTGCAAGCGGTTGGAACCTCCAGGGAGCTGAAACGGAGGTGCCGATGTGGAATGATGTGGAAGACGTGGAAGGAGGAAGATGGAAGGTGATGGTAGTAGGGATACGGGAAAATTACTCATGATTTATCAGTGGAATGGTGTAGCCCATTTAACAAGACAACGCCATATTGTCAAGATGTTGCTGCTTCAGAATTTCCGGCATTTCCGGATGTCTCTGATGTCTCGAGGTTTGGGATTGGCTACCGTCTCACGTGTCAGATTCTACCCAAAGCATCGCGACCAGCGCTGGAGTCTTTTGCTAAGGCGCGTCACACGCATAGCCTAACTCGTGATGTCTCGGCTGAGGGTCCCTCTGATTTGTCATTTTTCTGGATCAAGAACACTGTTCAGACTGGAGCTCTTATGGCATACTTTGATCTTGCTTTGATGCCAGCATTTTCTTGACACGTGCTTGCCTGATGAGGAGTACGTAAAGTCGGCAGCGTTGGAAAGTGAAGAGGCAGGGGATCTGTGAGATTACTTGGTGCCGAGTTGCCTCTTGTGAGTTGCATGGGAATTGATGGGCATTTTGCCGAGACAACTCAAAAAAACTCATCTTGCAGGACATAGCAGTGGCCAGCATCACAATGAGCCTAGATGACGTTGGGTGCTTTTCCAAGTTCCTCCTTGCACTGGAAGACTCTCAAGATCAACTTGGTGTGATCGATTATGCACTCGGGATGTCTTCCCTTGAGGATGTGTTCATGGCCCTCGAGGACAAAGACGACAAAGATGTGACCGCCGACAAGGCAGACGCTAGCGTCCAGAAGGACCTTCGAGATCTCGAAGCTGCTGAAGTCGGACCTGACAGGACCGACAGCTCAGAATGGCGTTGTGCCAAGGCGGTCTTTATTCTCCGCTTAAAGCCGGTCCAGGCCAGCAGGTTTCGATTCGGCACGGTCGTACTGCTACCGTTCTTGATCCAGCTGGGTGGCTGCTACTTGGCCACCTTAGGAGCTACTGACATGGATTCCGGGACAAATGGCTATGCCATTGCCATCTATCCAGCCATGTCCTTCGGATTTGTTCTGCTCTCATCATGCCAAGACGTTATGACCGATATCAAGAACAAATGCAAGTATGTGTCAATGTCTCAGGGCCTTTCAGCCAGGGCATATTGGCTTGGAAACTTCATGGCTCATCTTGTGCTTCTTTTGCCTGCAGCGATGGAATTTGTGATTGTTTATCTTCTCCTGAGACCACCGAGCATGCCTATAGAAGTGCTTCCTATGGTTATTCTGGCCATACTTTTGTACCCAATTCCTTTGACCCTCTGCGTGTACAACTTTACGGTGGCGATGGCCGGCTCTGAGTCAGTCTCAAAAGTGGTTCCTGTGATGCTGATGACCACGCAACTCTTACCCGCACTGATCACTTCGATTATCACAGCTGCGTACGTGCCTGAGAGCTTGGCCGGTTTTGCCAACGCCTGGCATGTGACACTTTCAGTACTGAACCCTAACTATGGATTACCTGGACTGATAGCTTATATCATAAATGTGGATGGTCCAAAGAAGCTCTCAGTTGGAGGCTATTTTGCAACCCTTTCTGCCGTTCCGCTCTACATGATGTTTGTTACATCTTCTGTTTGCCTCTTCAACCTTGTCAGATTGGATGCTGGGCTTTATTCCGAAACGGAATTGCAAAGCGCATGATAATCTTCAAGATTTTTAAATCAGTCTGCAGATCGTTGTGAGAACTGTTTGGGTCTCGAAGTATTTAGCAATATTTAGCAACCGTACATGATATGGACTCACCATTGTGATTCACCGCGACTCATCATTATGGTGTTCTTCACTCTCAAATCAGCCTAAAAACGTGTGTTTTATTTCTTGACAGATACTGTGGCCACTGCACTTTTGCGAAGTTAGGACACTAAGAGTTACCAGAACAAACCACCATTGCCAACGGAAACAACCTCAAAGATCGCGGACGAGGACTACATCGCATCAAGCAACGTTTGCAATGTTTGCAGTATTTTGAAGTTCCTTTCACGGCAATGGAAAATCCATGAGAATATCCTATTTTTTAGATTATTTACATTTTATTCATTATGTTCCCAGTACAATCTCCATTTATGAAAAGGGGATTATCCATTACCATATTACTGGAGTGCTGCAGGATGTCTTGGCTGAAGAAGAACGATGCAAGCAGGAGGCGGACACAGAGGACGCTGCCAGATATCAAGAATTGAGCCATACCTACCGCTTAGCGAATACCGGCTCCAGACCCAGCGTTACCCGGAAGCGTTTGAAGATTGTCCAAAAGGTGGAGGTAAAGAACGGCATACCCAAAAAATGTATAAACATGTACTGTTGTCAATGTTGTCAAATGTCCCCAATCACCATATTCGGCATTAAATGGTCATGTTGCCCCATTTCAGGGCAAACTCACAAGATGTTTTGTAGTCGTAGATTCCGTAGTTGCTGTCATTTTTAAAGTCGTCGTTTGCCCTAGGCGTGCGCTTATGCAACCAGAGAGTTCAAGCCACTCGGGGTGCAAATGCAAGGTGCCCTTGCCAAAGGTGTAATGGGAGATCAGAGTATAATATTTTATCCTGTGAATACGACGTGCTTTGATCCTGAGTTTTAGATTATCTTTGTCTTAGATGGATCCTATTCAGGATAGACTATACATAGATATACATAGTCTATTCCAAGATAGTCTTCGACTTTTACTTGCACTCAGACACAGTTCCATTGCATAGAAATATGACCTTCCTTGTCCATACTCCGCAGGTACATGTTCTTTCTGCAGACAATATCTGATCCAACAATCAGGGATGCTCAACAGCACAACGATACAACCCTTGAAGCAGACATGATCGAGCTGAGGTATGTGAATGCAGTTAGAAGCATCAGCCTTGGTATACAGAAGGGCGAATGCTTCAGCTTGCTGGGGCCCAATGGGGCTGGAAAAACGACAACGCTTGGCATTCTGACCGGCGAAATCAGGACAAGACATGGTTCACTTTGACTACTCCCTTTGGGTTTAAAGTGTTGCCTGATTCAGTTTTGGACCCTAGAACAAAAAAATCGGAACCTAATTGCTAATGTTATGCTGATTTGAAATCTAGTGTGCTTATTATGTCTAAAGAGTTCAAACGCCTGCAGATCATGTTGCAATGTTTGATAGAGCAGTTTGTGATTCCTGCAGGACACCTAGTGCTGGGAAAGTCAGCATCCTTGGTCATGATATGTCGCTGGAGTCAGAACGAGCAAAAGCCTTTGAAGTGCTTGGGGTGTGTCCTCAAGTCGATCCTGTGTGGGAGGCCTGGCTCAACCATAGATACATGATGAAGATGACACATTCATTCAAGGGCAGTTGATTGTTTACTGTTAAGTGTCAGTTCTCTCAGAAGTTTCCATGAAATTTCTAGATTGAGAACAGATTCGCAATGGATGTTATTGGATCATATTGATATAAAATGATATATATATATATATTATATTAAAGAATATCTAAAATATAATATACAGTAAGAATAATATATTATATGCTGATATTGATATATGTTGATGTATGCTGGTGACACTGAGGACGAGGTCCCAGGGAAAGATCACCTCCGGCATCTTGGATCTATTTGCTGTGCCAGTCCAGAAGTTGAGAGAGATCATTAATGATCATTGTACAGTAATTTGTAAATATATGTAATAGGTTATAAGTATAGTACAATATGTATATAGATATAGATATATATATATTACAATATTTCTTGAATTTTATAATTAATGCAAACGTAATTGTAAAATGATTATATATATTATATGCATACATTTGGGAAGCATCAGCAAGCAGAGCTGTGGGCGGAAATCAACGTCACTGAAGCTCATACTGCAGCAGTTGATGCGTTGCGTTGCTTGTCAGGTTTTACGGCCGGATCAAAGGCGTTGCAGAAGACAAGTTGGACAAGACGGTGATGGATCTGATGGTTCGCCTTGGCCTCTCAGAGCAAGATGCCATGAAGCCCGTAGGAACCTACAGCGGTGGGATGAAGAGGAAGCCTGGCAACATTTGGCAACACTTGTTTTTTGACTATTAGAGATCTAACCGTCGCATTCTGAGCCGTAGTGCGCTTGATTTCAATTCGAAAATTAGTTTTGCTACAGATGTTCTTGAAAACGGACCGCCACCTGTCTAGGGGAGCGGAGGGTTGTGGCAGGCGTGGCTGGAATTTGTCAGTGTTTCCTTTGCAGTATCTGTCATTCGAGATTGTGCTGCCTCAAGAAGTGGTGTAATTCAGTGTAATTACTATGTGTTTCCCAATTCGATGATCAATGTGATATTCGGTATCAATTCGGATGATGTCAATCAAAACAATCACAACGGCTAGATTTGTTCATGCAAGGTCGCAACTTGAGCTGGGTTCACATTTGGCAAGATTTCAACAGGCATCTCCCCCGAGAAAGTTAGTGAACCAAAAGTTCTTAAGACGGCAAAAGCAAGGCTGTGGATGCTTCCAACCCGTCTCCAGTTCTCCGTTGTCTAGCACTCTCAAGCATATTCATTCTCGCTGCCCAGGAAGCTAAGTGTTGGAATTGCCCTAATTGGTCACTCGAAGGCACGGCTCGATCCATTTGCTGGACAGGTTTGAGTCATGTCCCATACTCGAAGAATCTGGTTTGAATGCGGTTTGGGGCAGCACACAATCACTCACGGTGCAGGGTCACATTGTACTTCTCCACTTCTTTTCTCTTGGGACAATATCTCTGCAAGCCAGCCAGCCATGTTGAGACTTGCCCTGTCAGATGCTTTTCCTGGATGAACCCTCAGCAGCAGTGGACGCTGGAGCCAAACGCCATTTGTGGAAGGTGATCAAATCCCGTGGCCCCGATCAGCAGCTGGTCACGTTTAACAGAGCCAACAGCACGGAAAAATCCAGAAAATGGTGGTGCAGGATCAAAGGATGTCGCCATTAGTGGCTATATATATATATTATATATATACATATAGATGATTATATAAATATTATATGTGTATTATATACGTATTGTATGTATTGCCCCTGAAAATGGAAAAGCCTTCAGAATCGTGCGGAGTGAAAGAAAGATGCAAGGCACTGAGATGCAATTCATATCTATATATGTTTGTTCATATTTTTTTCATGGAAAGTGGATGAGTCATCTAAGGACAGTTGTTCTCACGACTCACTCCATGGAGGAGGCCGGAGCACTGAGTAGCAGGATGGCCATTCAGGTCATGGGACAACTTCGATGCTTGGGAACACCAATGCATATCAAGCACAAGTACGGCACTGGTTGCCTGGCAAATCTGGCAATACAATGGCAACCGGCCAAGACGTAGTCTTGTGATGTCTTGTGGCCAATGGATGTGACCGCGGTACTTTCAGAATGACAAATAGTTTGACAAACATATTCCGAGTTGTTTGTGGTTGTTGCTAGTGTTCCATAGTGTTCCCATAATCCGTCATCGATCATTGGCGACTTGATGGTACCCAAGTCGGTTCCCCCAAGGTTATCAGCTGGAGCTCTTTTTTGATGGCACCGTTATTGGCACTGGATTTGCTTCCAAGAAGGTCACCCGCCAAGGGTGCCAATGTTCAACCCAGCCACATCAAACGTGTAGTAGAAGACGAGGAATCCCAAAACAAATCAAAATGAATGGGACGCACAAAACATCGAAGGTATAAATGAGAGGAACCTTCCAGTTTCATCCATTCTCAGCTGAAACTAATCCAACACTCAGAGCCGCGGATTATCCATGATTTTCCATGTGACGTGAGATACGCGAGGATGAGCTGGTGGCTTTTGTGCAGCAAAACATCTCACCTTTGGCAGAGCTATTGGAGGGTCATTCAGAGCGGCAGTTGTACCAGCTCCCTCCGAGAAGTGAGGGGTTGAAGCTGGGCAAAGTCTTGGAAGTAGTGGAGGCCCAAAAGGACAGCCCCTGAGCTCAACAACTATGAAGCTGCCACAAAATGCCAAAATGCACATCAAGCTAACAGCAACATTTACAAACACGTCAAACTCTCTGATTCTAGTACAGTACTTTGATGACCTTTGATGACCTTTGGCCAATCTGAGGCTTAGGAATCACTGAGTATACCATATCGCAGCCATCATTGGAGCAGGTCTTCCTTCGTTTTGCAAAGGAGCAGTATGAAGCTGATAGAGCAAAAGAAAACGGAGACGAAACTCCGATTCATAATGCAGACAAGGAGTGAATGTTGTGGGAAGCTAGCTAAATCATTATTCAAACCTGTACAGATCACATGCCCGTGCAAAGCACTGGGAGCACAGTGCGAAAATGTGGGGGTAGCTGGCAACCGGAAGAGCCAGAACTGTTGGATACCATTGGAATATGACATTTCTTCAGTGGTTTTGTGGTCCTGGTTGTCAGCTACGTGCCCGCAACACGCAACAAAACATGTGGAGCTTTCCGCACAGCTGCATGATCGGCCTGCGCCACGGGGGCCACAGCCTTTTCATGCGACGGATGTGGCAGTCACCCCCATGGCAATGTCTAAAGACATGCCATCGGGTGGATCGCTGCCGTTTTCGAAAGTCTTTGTGTCGAGAATGGTGTCGAAAAAGTATGGAAAAATCCCCGATGAAAAGCCTTGTCGTTTCGAGGCTCCCAAATCACAGCAGCTCTCTGCAGAGGGCCGTATTGCACTCTGTGGCAGCGTGTTTCAATATATTCCACTGAGGTTTCGTTGTTATCAAATGCCATCGAGGACCGGATAGTATCAATTATGAAGGGTCGCAAGTACTCCATATGCCGCCATACAACTCAGATAAGAGCGCAGCAATGATAATCACATATAATCACAATGATGGAGCCCATGTTGAAACAAGTCACTGAATGAACTGCTTGGACATTGAACCCGGAGGCCATGCAAGCACAAGATGTTTGATACTGCGACAAGGAGCATCAAGTCTTGAAAAAGCTCTTGCCGGACCAATGACGGACTGCATCAATGGTGCTTGTATCATCTTGTATCTATCATGTTCTTGAAGTATGATGTACTTGTATGTTGAACTTACCGACATGTCCACTATTTTTCTCTAGAGACAAACAGGAGGGTGCATCTCCACTCCACACTCAGGTGCAACGGTTGAGAAATGAAGATACTTCTTGACAAATGAACTCCACACTCGCATGAAGTTTTCCATTTTTTCTTTGTGCTGCCTCAGTGAGCCGTGAAGTCAGAGCACGGAAGGCACTCCTACTCCTGCTCAAGGCTCGAGTGCTTCTTCTGATGAGCAATACGAGCTCGAGCCATCCCGGTTGACTATGACGAACGACAAGAACATCAGCAAGCTTCCTCTGATGATGCTGATGTAGGAAAAGACCACCTGAGAGAACTCTGAGAGTTGAGGAACGCCGCTGCCCAACCTTTTCACCCTTAGGTCCTGTCTCACTCTGTTGTTTCACCTTTCCTTTTGACCATATTAGATTGCATTGCTGGCGCAGGCAAGACAGCCATTATGCTTGCTGCTCTTGACAGCATAGTGATGGAAGTGGATGACTACATACTAGTGACAGCGCCCAACAAGCCGATGGTCGCGAGACTATCGAATTTACTCACCAACCACTTGGGCGACGCAAAGTGCGCGGTGCGGGGCGGCACCGATTGGGTCGGAGACGAACCCATAGACCTTATAGCAGCACACTTAGAAGGAGAAGTGAGGCGAGAGTGCGCATCGGAATTCGAGACACTGCGAGTTGCCCTGTGTGCTATCAACTATGAAACAAGGAATTGTTTGCAATGTATGGAAAAGCAACATATGGGAGACTATTGGCGCCACTGGGAGAACGTGCTGAGGTACCATGCAGCATACCAACTATACCTCTTCCAGATCGTTTACCATCGAGCTCAGGAAGCACGGAAGGAGGCAGTGAAAAGAATTAACGTCGTAGTCGCAACAACTTCGTATGCGCGGAAGCTGCTTGGGGGCGAGGCACCTTGGAGTCGCTCCTTCCTCCGGCGCCGACTCATCCGCCTATTCGTCGATGAAGTACATCAAGAGAGCTATTTGGCCTTGACCGCGCTTCTGGCACATGCACCACACGCAGTTTTGATTGGCGACGCCAAGCAGGCCCTGCTAAGGGAAGAAGAAGCAGCCGGTACATACACAGGATCATTTAGTTGGATAGAAAGAAAAGATTTACGTGTGAATTCTCTCACTGAGAGCTTTCGATTGGGTCCTATTATCACACAATGTTTAGTCGATACTGGAGATTATGGCACCGCGAGGTCACATTCATCGGCCCCCGATACAACTCTACTGCCAGTCTTGTTTGCACCCATAGAGGATGCTTTGTTTCTGGATGCTGAGATCATCACAAGTCCTTTCATGTTTCAACATCTCATTCACTTAATAGCGCTCGAGGCAGTGTCTTCTGTGTTAGCGAAGAGACAGGTCTCGCTAGCTGTAATATGTTGGTATAATGTGCAGAAAGACTTCCTGAAGAAATACTTGGTTGATTTATGCAAAGACCACGCGCGCGCTATTCTGCAGATGCATTGGTTCGATCGCTCTTTCCGCACGAGGCATGGGGGTGAACTAGATGAATATGTAAAAGCGGTCGACAAATGTCTTGCTTCGCTGCACACTTTCTTACCTGGTGGCATTGGAGGAAGTGAGTACGATGTCGCGTTCCTTTTTTTGCCCCGACGACGCTCTGAGGACACAACATATCGAGGAACTCAACTGTTGTCTCCCGCATGGCGTTACGTCGCCCTCACACGCGGCTCCCTACGATCATATGTCTTCCTTGAGGTCCTCATTGATCGCGTACCACACCGTACTAGCCAGGCCGAAAGGGTTGGCCAGTGGTCTCGTTTTGCAGCTGTATGCTTGGATGAGTTGAGACACCTACGAGCACCTGGGCACTATGTCCTTGAAAATAGTGTCGAGTGGCGCTATAGTCCGGCACAGATCGTCCTCACAGATTATTATGTGGAAAATGTATTTAACATGGGAAAGGCACAACATACAAGCTGTCTGCAGCACTTACATGAGGTCATACGCGGACAGAATTTTGATTTACCTGCCCGTCGGGTCGCAGGCGATACATTCCAGGACCTCCTACAGGGCGGACAGAACTCCAATTTGCAAAGTCTATTGGTGAAAGCCAGGAATGCCACACGTCGTCTCAACAATCTCCCTGATCTGCAGGCGCAATATCCTGTGGGCCTCCAAGTCGAAAATTTTCATGACCGAAATGTGCCGCATTTCAAAGACATTATGCTCGATGCGATCTGTGTCAATGTCCTCATGGACCAAATTACCGTATCCTTACCATTGTTGCTGTATAGCCCTGCTTGGTCTCTGCACTTAGACCCCTCTGATGTCGCATATGAATTATTCCAGCTTTTCTACATCCAACTGCCAGTAGATATCCGACAAAGTCTCGTCCCGCAGACAACGCGGCATAAGAAGAAAGAGGTAGATGTCGCAGGTGAGATTTTCCTTGAGGAACAATGCCATAGCAATAGACCGGCTTTTTGCTTGCTCGAGGACGGCTGTGATGAAATATTCCATCTATACAGTGCTATGGGCCTACCACACCAGCATGATGATGTTCGAGTACTTCTCGCACGATGTCGGTCCAGTGACATCGCTCTGCTGTGGATCCGTTTTCTTACGGAACAGTATGCGTTGACATTAACGGAAACGCATGTGCAAGGTGAAGATAATGCCCTGGGCAAGTGGAATTGGAGTTTCACGAGTCTCCGATGGAATGTGCATTTTGACACATTGACAAAGCCCTTTGAGGATGTGCTGCACGAAATGAAATGCATCCATTTGCAGTGATGATGTTAGCGACACTATACGTGGCTGAAAAGAAGCACGTGCATTGACTTTTTTTTGTTCCATCATGATTGTCTTCGGAAGTGATGTTCCTACTGTGACATATCGATGCATGCTCGGCGACACGGGATGCCGCATGTTCGAATCGTGGGTGAGTACATAGATAGAAAGCGAGAGGTTTTTACAGAAACTGGGCAGATTTTAAGTAACATCATCTACTCCAGAGAAATAGATAGATGCTGATCCTCAGGTGAAGTTACAGGAAAGGGGCAGATTTAAATTGACATCTTATCTGCAAGACGCATAGACAGATCCAGATCCAAAGGATAGATTTAAAGTAGCATCTTATCTTCGACAAGAGTAGACCGATGCAAATTGTCCTAGTTTTTTTATAAGAGAAGGGGAGATGTACACTAAATTCTGCTCTTTCAGTAAAGTAGACTGATGCAGATCGTCATAGGAGTTTACAGGAAAGGGAGGAGATTTAAATTGACATCTAGCCAGATGCAGATCGTCATAGGAATTTGTAGGAAAGGAATAGATCCTAATTGAAAACTTCCCTCCCAAAGAGTAGGCAGATGCAGATCATCATAGGAATTTGTAGGAAGGGATGATATTCTAATGGAGAACTCCTCTATAAAGAGTAGCCATATACAGATCGTCATAGAAATTTGCAGGAAAAGAATAGATCCTAATTGAAAACTCTTCTTACAAAAAGGTAGCCAGATGCAGATCGTCATGGGAATTTACAGGAAAAGAATAGATCCTAATTGAATTTTTTTCCTGCTAAACGGCAGCCAATTGCAGATCGTCATAGGGATTTGTAGGGAAAGGAGAGATCCTAATTGAAAACTCTTCTTACAAAAAAGTAGCCAGATGCAGATCGTCATAGGAATTTATAGGAAAAGGTGGGATCCTAAATGAAAACTCTTCTTCTAAACCGCAGATCGTCGTAGGAATTTATAGGAATCGTCGTAGGAATGTAGATCAACGTTGCCAGATACAGATCGTCGTAGGAATTTGCAGGGAAAGGAGAGATCATAATTGAAAACTCCTCTTCCAAAGAGTAGGCAGATGTGGATCGTCATAGGAATTTACAGGAAAAGGTGGGATCGTAATTGAAAACTCTTCTTCCAAAGAGTTGCCAGATGCAGATCGTCATAGGAATTTATAGGAAAAGAAGAGATCCTAATTGAAAACTCCTCTTTCAAAGAGTTGCCAGATGCAGATCGTCAAAGGAATTTGTAGGAAAAGAAGAGATCCTAATGGAAAACTCCTCTTTCAAAGAGTTGCCAGATGCAGTTCGTCATATGAATTTGTAGGAAAAGAAGAGATCCTAATTGAAAACTCCTCCTCCAAAGAGTAGCCCGATGCAGATCGTCATAGGAATTTGTAGGGAAAGGGGCGATCCTACTTGAAATCTCCCCTTCCAAAGAGTTGCCAGATGCAGATCGTCATAGGAATTTGTAGGCAAAGGTGCGATCTTAATTGAAAACTCCTCTTTCAAA